CAGGGGCTGAAAACAGCTGGCACAAACCTGTAACCAGCCCAGAAGGCAAGTGCCACCTTGTGCCAATGGTAAACAGCTGAATGGGGGTTTGAATCTCACAGGTAAATAGTGTGGTCCTCCGCAGCCCGCATCGCAGGGAATGAATTCCCAGGCATCTTGTTTCTCCTGTTGATTTCTTTCTAGAAACTTGTTTCAACCAGCCTGATTCTTTCCCAGCTGTGGATATAGGCAGACCTGCATGAGTTATTAAATCACACAGCCACCCCTGCCTCCCCTGCTGGTGGGTGTCCACTGCCCTGTCTTCAGATTCCCTCTGGGAAAGAAATGTCTCCTCTTTCTGATAATGAAGAAGACGGAGAGGGTAATGATCTCACTGGTTACCTTTTCCTACTTTTTATCCAGAGCTGCTTCTTAGCCACTTGGATAACTTACTTAGCTTCTCTGAGCCTCAGTTTCCAACTCTGTAGAGTGGGTGATGGCATGATAATGGGCATAACACATAGTTAACCGAGTGTTCACTGGACCAGGCACTGTTCCTAGCGCTGTATATGTAGTAACTGCTTTAGTCCTCCAAACAGCACTTTCTAACATCATCATCAATCAAAAAACATTTCCTCACGTTTTGTACGTGAGGAAACTGAGATACAGAGGAGTAAATTGCCCAGGGTCAGCAGATGGGTAGCACCTGATCTGAGATTCAAACCCAAAACCCCTGATCCGGACTGCAAGGCTGAAAGGTTATGGTCTGTTCTGCGGGGTTGCCATGAGGACTGAAATCAAGAATATGTCTAAGTCTTGTTCAGTCCGTAGCATTTATTATTCCTGCCAATTAACTTAACACTATGTGGAAACATTACATTCTTGCCCGAGATTCAACCTACCCATAGCACACAGCGGGGAATGACTCCAGTAGGGGATATTAATTTCACTAATATCCATGTCCAATTTTTTTTAAAGATTTTTTTTATTTATTTATTTTGAGAGAGAGAGAGAGAGAGTGAGGGAGAGCATGAGAGGGGAGGTCAGAGGGAGAAGCAGACTCCCCATGGAGCTAGGAGCCCAGTGTGGGACTTGATCCCAGGACTCTGGGACCATGACCTGAGCTGAAGGCAGTCGCTTAACCAACTGAGCCACCCAGGCGCCCCATGTCCAATTTTTATAAACTGAAAAAGCTGAAAACTTTGCTGAGTTTTTGATTATATAATATCTAGGGTTCATTGAACACATACTATGCTAGACTGACATTAGATAGATAAGCAGATATCTCGATTCATTTGTTCTCCATCACAGAACCCTATGACATATGCACTCTTTTAACTCAGTTTTAAAAGCAAAGAAGTTGAGGGTCATCAAGGATGGTTATCTTTCTAAGTTTGCATAGCCAAGGACCAGAGGACATGAGCCTCAAACCCAATCTATTCGATTCCAGAGGCCGGGCTCTTGCCTCGGACACCGTGTAGGCTCTTTGCCTAAAATTTTACCGTAGGAATTCTAATTCAAAGGATTCAATTCAGCATTACCCTGATTTCTGCCTCATGTTGCTAGACCTGTCACAGAAGATTCTCTCTGATTTCCTTTATCAAAAGCAATAAAAAGAGTATCTCGCATATTGTTCCCAGAAAGTTTTGCCACATCCCTATTTCTCTGAAATGGCCATTACAATTAACGTATGACACATGCGTGTGGCACGCAGCCAGGGCTGTGGTTTAGCCTGCCTTCTGACAGCATCTGGATAATTCTCCACAGCTGCATCTCACGGATTGAACCACGTGAGGGCACGTGAACCAAAGGCGCCTCACCGCTGTGGGAAGGCCTGGGTCAGTTTCCCCAAATGCTGAGTCAGGATCGGGTCCTGCTGGAGGACTCTTCACACCTCCCTCCCACCCTCCCTGGGAAAAAGCCCACCAGGCAAACAAGGAGGTGGGTAAATAAAGGAAGAAACCGTCCAGTGTCGCGCGAGGACTATGCTGCTCTCGCACCCCTGTTGAATAGAGACGCCGACAGCCTCTCAGATCCTGAACTGGCAATTCAGAACAGTTTGATTGCCTGCTTGATTGTTTGCGAGATAACTGCAAGATTGTCAGTGACAGGGTAATTTACTGAAGATTGCCATGTCAGACTCCACGCGAGGGGCTTGCTGGCATAAAGATGCAGCTCTCGTGACTGACAGGCCACTGGGAGGTTGGAGTGCCAATTTAAAGTTCACGGTGTCGTCGGAAAGCGTTCAGCACCAGCAGCCCATAATCACGCAACGTGATGAGGTCATTACAGGCGTAACGTGTGCTCACGCTTAATAACCGGTAGAACCCCAAATGCGCCATCTCCGGAGCAGGTAAATGTAAATGTGTGGGAGGAAATCATTTCTATCCTTTCCCCCCACCCCCATTTTTTTAGCATTTGCCATCTGCTATTGCTGATGTGTTTATAGGACATCTCCTGCCAGATGGGCCTTTAAGTAAAAATCCTAGAATCGACAGAAGAGTGGAGAAACTGGAGGTCCACACTTTCGAAGAAGTCACAAGTCCAGGACGAGTAGCAGACGAGCAGGGGTTGGGGAGGAGAGTGTTGAGTGTTTAAAAGGAAAACGGTCCCAAGTTCCTATTTGAGCCCAAAGAGGTTCTCAAGCTGGTTATATGGAGGGGGTGGTAAATCGGGTGAGGAGGGGTAGGGGACATTCCCAGCTTCAGGAGGGAAAGCCCACCAGAGAGAGATGGAACTTCTAATGGGAAGAGGCCAGCGGCCTTAGAGAAATCTGTAGTGCTAACAGCAATGTGTCTCTTCTCACCTGAGAAGTTTCTGCATCTGCTGAAAGGAGCACCGCCAACAGAGCGCAGCGGGATGATTTTAAATCCAAAGCAGGCCTTCTACCGTGGATCCCGTCTGTCTGGTGAAGACGGTCCTCGGAAGGAGATGTTAAAGGCAGCATGCTATGTGGAGGTTTTTTCTTGTCTTTTTCTTATTCTGCGAAGGGCTCTGGGATCCACTCTACAATCTGAACACAGATCTGAGACCGTGCCCCAGCATCATCCCACTGCCGACATACAATTCTCTGGCCTTGTTTCTTGGGTCTGAGATTTGTGGGCCTCTGGGGAGAACCCGATTCACCCAGCCCATCAGGCAGAGGTGTTCAGAGCCCTGACTTGGAAAGTCTCTAAATTTAAAGTGTGTGTGCCTGCTCACCCTCCTGTGTCTGCGTTTCTAGGAAATTCTGTAAATCTAAATGCGTTACGAGGCACAGAAGCAACATTTGCCCATGTGGAAAATGAGAGGCTAGTTTTAGTAATTTAAAGCCAAGCAAAACGCACAACCTCCTAATTTGTTTGTTTGCTAAAAAGAAAGTAATGCATTAAAATAATTGTACATTAATTGCTAAATTACAGTGGAACTTTGGTGAAATTACATATTTCAATTTCATTAGCAGAACCAAACGAAAAGAGTAATGCCAAAAAATTACATTGTAGTAAATTTAAAACACGCAGGCAGGCCTCTGATTCAGTACTCCAGGACACATGTTTGTCAAGCCACAGCCCAGGGTTTGAGTACATGTTCCTACGATGTTAATTATGGCCCCAAAGTACCTTGCTATCAATTCTGGGAGATGCAAGCAAATTATTCTCCAAGACTTTCTCTCTACTGTGTGTTCAGTCAGTGCCCAGCAGAGTGAATAAGTGTTGGCCAATAAATCCGTTCTAATAGGGAATTCCAAGGAGCAAAGACTGCCCGAAACATTCCATGCTCAGCCTTAACGCACAGACAAAGAAGGGGAAACATTCATTTATTCATTCAACAAACGTTTGTTGAGTACCCAGTTCTGTGGTTGGCACTGAGTAAGATGTGAATATAGAAATGAATAAGACACTGTTATTCTCTTCAAAGAGCTCATTTTCCAGACAGGAAGGTAAGCACACTGAGATAACCCTAGCACGAGGAAGTTGGCATTCTCAAGGGTTTCTGTAACTTACTGTGCATTAAAATCAACTGAGAAGCCTGTATAAAAGGCAGGTGCCAGGACCTGCTTCTGGAGACTCTCTCTGGGAAGCTCTGGGGTAAACCCTTGATTCTCCCCATGGGATTTTGTTGTGGAACCATTCTCTGGCAAGCTCAAATTCAGGGATACACAGAGCAGGGATACCCTAACCTAGCCAGAGACATCACCAGGAAGGCTTCCTGGAAGGGGTGGCCATACCTAGTCTGGGTCTTAGAGGATGAATCATATCTGTTTCTCCCCCACTGTACAGTCAGCTCCTTCAGAACACCATCATTCTTCATCCTTTGTCCCATGTTTCATTTCCAGGACAGGGATGGCACTCAAATATTTGTTGTGTTATAGATGAATGATAGGAATTGTAGAAGAAAGACCGGAAAGGGATGGAGGGGCAGAGATCTGGGCAAGTAAAGAAGGATGTTCAAAGTGCTACAGATGTGCAGCAAGGTAGCACCAGAAGCGATTAGGTGAACCGATAGCTTAATTTCCAGGCACTCCAACTAAAGCCATTTCTCTGCATTTCCCAGAAAATGTAGAACTACCCCCACCCAGCTGTCAAACTGGTCAGCACTACACTCCCTGTCTGAGAGGGAGCAGGCATAGAACATTTTCACATTCAAGCAAGACTTTGGATGATTGGTACGCGCATTAGCAAAGGCCCCCAAGAACCAGCTATGGATAATTTTTTGTGCTGTGCTGTTCAAAAGCAAAATGCTTGTTTTTGTTTCCAACCACTCAAATAATACTTGCCCATGACCGAAAAAGTAGAAATCCTAGAAAAGTCTAATACAGAGAGACACACACTCATCTACCGTCTGGGGATAATCATTCATCCACCTCTCGGTCTTCGCTTTGCTCTGCATATGTGCTGGAATTAAACTAGGCCCATTGTGTGACTTCTGCCATTTCAAGCCCTTGGGAAGGGCTGACGCTCTTCCTGACAAAGGTGCGAGCATCTCTCCGCAGCGTTTTACCATGAAATGCCCTGACCGTGGCCTTGCCTCTGTTCTTCCAGATGGCCTGGTGGATTGCCTGGACCCTGACTGCTGCCTGCAGTCGGCCTGTCAGAACAGCCTGCTCTGCCGAGGGTCCCGGGACCCCCTGGACATCATTCAGCAGAGCCAGACAGACTCGCCTGCCGTGAAGTCCTTCTATGACCGCATCAAGCTCTTGGCAGGCAAAGACAGCACCCACATCATCCCTGGAGACAACCCCTTCAACAGCAGGTGGGCACCCTCCGTCCATACAGGCTGCCAAGGTGGCTGGGCTCCTTCCTGGCAGAGCAGGAGGAAGGAAGTGCTCCTGGTTTTTCTGTGGGTCCCGTTGGCCTAGAAACTACCCCATGAGGGCAACTCCTCTCTCTGGTCACAGAGGGCCCTTTCCTGTCTGTGGAAGTTGGCCACCTTCACCCCAGAAGCTGCTGGAGACATCTGTGGATGGTCTGGTTTTGAGATCATTTTTCTGATCTGTTATTTTATTATATCATTGCTATTATTTTATCTCTCTTTATAAAATACCTCTGATAGTACCTTTTGTCTGATCACCACTGAAATACTTCATTCAATAGAGTATTTTTGAAAGTAGTTATTAGCTGAATAGCATTAATTAGAATTTATTGAGTGCCTCTCATAAGCCAGAGACTTTATGTGGACTGTTTCCCATCCTCCCAGCAACCCTATCAATTATACCTGCTATTGACCTGCTTTGGGCAAGATGTCATGCTGGGGCATTTTACCTTTCTTTCCAAAATGATGGGGTTTCTCTTGAATTTACTTTTGCTCTCAGTAGCTAATTTGAAGCAGTTCTGGGGAAAATTCTGGGTTTCTTTTACAGTCAGCTTGGCCCCTCCCTTCCAAGTTAGAACTGTACCCCTGGAGAGGAGAATGAGGGAAGAGTTGGCTTTGAGGCGTCCCGTCCGCTCCTAGGCACTGTTCATGATTCTGAGGGTGAGAGGAAGGACAGAGAGGCAAGGATCTTCTTATGGCCTGCCTGCATATCACAGATCTCTCTCTTGGTGGGTCTGGGTCCAGATGTCAACAGTGTCTGCAGATGTGAGGTCTTCTTGGGGTTGTCTGTCTCATTTCGGTGTTCCTTCCCACGGGGAAAGAAGACTTGCTGGCTGGGTCCTCTTTCACAAAACCTCTAGGAAACTTGAAGTTGAACGGGGTGCTCCTGGCCTCCTCAGCCCTCTTACCATCCTCCTCGTGCCATCCTTCTCTTATATCTCTTATCCTCACTCAGTTCTGGGAAGGCCCAGAAGCAACTCAGGAAGTATGCTGCTCAAGCCGGCTTCCAGCCAGTAATGGAAATACCAGACTTCACCCCCCACGGGAGCCCCTAGCTTTTTAAATGATTCTCTTGGTGCCCCTCCCAGTAGACCTTGGGGAGGAAACAGCATCAGGCCATGACTTAGACTCTGCTCCTCCCCCTTGGGACAGTCTGGTGAAGGTGGGATGGGGAGGTGGCAGGTAATGGTACAGCTGATTAATTCCACAGCCCCTAGGAACTCTCTGGGAAGCTGTGCAGCCCCAGTTCCTGACAGCGGTTTGTATATGAGAGCTCTTAACATGGTCACTTTGGGCCAGCAACTTGAGCCTCTCACCTGTTGTTGCTTTCCGAAAAGAAAAAATAATCTCAGCCATCTTCTATTTCAGCCCTGACACCCCCTAGCCTGTGCCACCTTAGGCAAGTTATTTAACCTCATAAACTTCATTTTCTTGATTGATAAAATTAGAATATTATAGGATATACTTGTACAGTTGTATTATTTAATACAAGAACCCCTCAAAAATAGAAGAAACCACAAATCTTTGATCACAGAAGCATTTGCTTGCTAGAATCCTAGTTCTGGGACAGGGATTCTACAGGTATGTTTCCCTTTAATTATGAACATAATTCCCGTTGCCAATGAGACACGAGTGGCCCTAGCACAAGGCTGGAAGCATTCCAGTAGGGCTTGCATGCAATTTGCTCGTACAGTAAATGCAACTCAAAGGTCCCTGCTCTGTTCAGCTTCCTGTTAACATTTCATTTTTCCCACCCTAAATCCAGTCATTTCCTGATACTCTCCTTTTTGTCCCTTAAAATTCAGTCTTCTCCTCCTTATCCAAGTTTCCATTTCCAGAAGGCACCTTGAGCTACAGCCAAGATTCAGGAGAGGAGACAGGGACTCCAGAATATCTGGTGGACTAGACCAGCCCCAGAGATCTGGGAGGAAGAGACTTGCTTTAGAGAAAGCGTCTCTGGAGCTTTGAAAGTCGCAGTAGATACCACCACCCACGTGAGCCCACATTCCAACACACTGATGTAGATACATAATTCAGAAGTACAAAATGTTACTCCAAGACAGGTTGAAGTTCACCAAGCATGAGAATTTTAGGGCATTATCCTCTGAGAGAAAAATGAAGGAGAAAGTGAGGAGTAAAAAAGAAGTTAATTCAAGACTTCTAAGAAGGCATTTCCCCGAGATAATGGCATACAAAAATCACTAAAATGCCTTGACTCCACCACTATAATTTATAGAGCAGATCTCACTATCTAGATAATGTGATAATTGTTACACATCAATAATCATAAATAGAAATGAACAGATAGCATGTCTTAGCTGAGTCTTTTCTGTGAATTGTCTTCCTAGAAACGATATGAAGCCAGCAACAATGAAGAATTAGGAAAATAGAGGGTAGGAAGCCTAGGCAACCAGGCCTCTTTTAATCCTGGGACGCTGTACAAAATCTCATGCTATAGGAATGATTTAAAAGAAATAACAGTGGTATAAAAAAGGAGGGGAGAAAAAAAAAACCCATTGAGGGACATACTCCCAATTTTGTTTTCTCATCACAAATGCTTTGTACCTTGTGGTCATCAACACACATCGATTTTAAAATAGTGTCTCGGAAGGCATGAAAGAAATCTTAGTCTGCACTAAGATAAGGAAATGGAATTGAACAAAAGAATTATTTTCATAATTTAGTTTTCCACTTTCAAAAGACTCTAGCATTATAGTTGGAACTAGCTAAAAATGGGATGCATTTGTTAGGCTGACGGTAGCAGACAATTAGAGCTGTCAGTGGAACAGTCTAAGCCCTCCCGAGATCATCAAAGGGTGGGAGTTGAACAGTTGGGGGTATTGCTAATAAAAAGAGGGTGCCTGGAGATAGCACCCCTCCAGTTCTGGGGTCATCTGAGATGGCAGAAGTAAGTGCATTCCAAAAACCAAGCAGACTTGGACAAGATTCTGGCAAAGAACAGGTCAGTTTGATTACCTAGCCAAGAAATTGGGACTCTGTCCAGGAACCTGGAAACCTGAGTACCTCTCTGCCTCTGCCAAATGCCCAGTGGCTTGAAGGTTCACAAAAGCAGCTGTAGACCTGCTTGGTGGGCCGGGGGCTAAATGCAAAAATGGAAGTTCTCATTAGCCCATTTCTGTGAAATCAGAAAATTTAGGTAAGAGGAGGCATGTGCCTTCTCCCCCTGTGGTGTTTGAGAAGACTCTCGTGCTATCTCTGTTGCTTTATGGGATTTTGCAGAAGTTGTTCATTGGATACTGGCATCCTCAAGAAAGTTCTAGTTACTATGATCTGGAGAGAGGAGAGCTTTTGCTGACAGTGGAAAATTTGTGTGGGATTTCAACCCCTGCCCCATCAAATAGCAGGAATTTTATACAAAGAGAAAGAGAGTACGTGGAATCCAGAATCCAAGATAGAATCCAGAAAAATATATCTCCCATATTCTCTTTTCCTCAGGCTCTCATGGATTGAGAGAAATTTTGCTCTTAGAGGGCAACAAAACACAATGTATGTAGATGTCCCAGCTTCATTTAAAAAAAAAGAAAAGAAAGAAAAACCTCTGTGTGCTTCCCTCTCTTCCCTCTGACATCCCAGCCTGGAGGGAAAGAGTAACATTGCCTTTCTCCAAAGCCGAAAAAGGAAATGAGTAGCCAGATGGGGAAGCTCTCACCGGAGTATAATACTCTCTGTGCCAGACTAAGGCACAAGCATGAGTTATGAGGGGCAGCCTGAAGCTCAGGCCAAACAAAAGCCAAATGATGTCAGGAAATGGAGCAAGGCCAAGGGTAGAGGGACTGTGCACAGGAGACCCCTTTGCCCATCTTAGTGAGTGGGAAGGCTCACTTTCATTCCAACATGTCACCAGTTCTGCTCCTCAAGGAAAGCAAGCATTAAGACCTCCCCATGAGGTGTGATCATGTGACTCCAGAAATAAATGTTGAAAGCCTAGTGACCAAAGGAGGATGGATGGGGACAGCAGCAACATGGAAAGAGAACTTGACACGCCCCCTGGTCTCCTTATTCTCCTCTGTGTGGCTCAAGTCTTGGGTTTCTTTTTCTCTCAGCTTGGTTTCTCTCATACGAGGACAAGTGGTAACTACAGATGGGACTCCTCTGGTTGGAGTGAACGTATCTTTTGTCAAATACCCAAAATACGGCTACACCATTACCCGCCAAGATGGCACGTAAGTATCTTCGTGAGCCCTACATACTCAGGGCTGAGGGGGCAGGCAAAGAGGCAGATGGGGCTACTGCCTTGGAACCACGTGGCTTCCCCTTGTGGACTGGGATGTCCATCAGGCCAGATCCCCAGTGAGGATCCCCCCCAAATATGTTTGTTGCTTTATGGCGTGGTATCCAAAATTAAAAACAGATAGAAGGGACGGGCTATCCAGGGCTGCCGATAACCATCATTCTCCTTTCTTCCATGTCAGATAAATGTTTTTCTGTGTCGGTGCATGTGTTGGAGCTGGAGCTGGGGGAGGGCCTATTCTAAAAAGAAAAAGGCAAAGCGGTGTTTGGAAACTCACTCCTATTTTAAATCAAAGGCAGTGCAGGGTGACAAGGATCCACATGACATAGTGTCCTGTGGTGAACCCCTTCTGCTCTCATCTGTGGCTTTAGGAGCTGTGTTGTTTTCGTGCCTGTTTTGAGGGGGGGGGGATGTAATCAGAGAAGTCTAATTAAATACATTTAGCCGTCACCCTGCTGCGTGAAGAAGGCAACCTTTTCCTATTATCTTCTGATTGGAAACATGCACCCGTGCAGCCCCCACCAAGATGAAAGCTATGTTATTTCCTTAATCCACTGGGCATGGAGTTGAAATTTAAAGAAGAAGAAGAAGAAAAGAAATCTATGGGATGAGGAAATCACCCACCCACCCTGAGATTAAAAAAAAAAAACCCACAAACTATTGCCTTGTATTCCAAATGAAAGTGAAAACAGTTACTGTAAATCTGATGTAAGACTTTTTTCTATAAAACAGGAGTCTGGAAAATCATGGATGTAGCATGTGGGTAAGAACTACAGCCTTGCCTTTTCTTGCCTTGAAGAGTCTGGGCTTACTCTCTAATGTCCTAAGGTAGCCTTGCAAGTTGTTTCCAAATTGACAAGACCATTAACCCTATCCTCATATTCCCACCTCTGAAACTCCAAGAAGACATCTGATGATTTCCACCAAAATCTCAATATTCACAAAGCTTTTGATAGCTCCCTCATGCATTTTTTTTTTTAAGATTTATTTATTTATTTTAGTGGGAGGGAGAGAGAGTTGGATGGGGGGAGGGGCAGGGGAAGAAGGGAGAAAGAATCCCAGGCAGACTCCCTACTGAGCATGGAGCCTGACATGGGGCTTGATCCCAGGGCCCTGAGATCACGACCTGAGCTGAAACCAAGAGTTGGATGCTTAACCAAGTACACCACCCTGGTGCCCCCTCACTCATACACTTCTGCAGCCAAATCTAATTGTTTCAACGCACTAGGACTGACTGTGATGTGTAGTGTGCAGAACTACCCCAGGTCTTGTTCATTCTTAGAAGCCAGTGTTCTTACCCTGCAAAGTCCGATGGCAATGCAGAGGACATTTCTAAGTCCTTGGCCTGCTGCCTGCCCCTACCTTATGCTGCCCCATCCCTCTCAGCTGCTTCCTGACTAATTACAGCCCAAACCCACTTCCCATATCATCTATCTGAACCTCCAGGACTGGTGATTCTTCAGCCTGTTCAGCTTGCAAAGCCCTGGAAATAACAGGATGTATTTGTGAAGGCTCTGAGGAATCACACAATCTGTTGTGTAGTAATGTGTGCCACAGACATCGATGATTTGGTTCTATCATATCAAGACATTTGACTCTCTCCTTTGTCCTGTACAGCACCATCCCCAGTGTGCACACCCAAAAATAAATAGACAAACAAATATTCTATGCTCGGATATTTACCTTAGTATTCCTGTGCTCCTCACCCATGCGTTTTATGTCTATTAAAAAACACCAAAAGTGGGGCGCCTGGGTGACTCAGTGGGTTAAGCCTCTGCCTTCAGCTCAGGTCGTGATCTTGGGGTCCTGGGATCAAGCCCTGCATCAGGCTCTCTGCTCGGTGGGGAGCCTGCTCCCCCCACCCACGCCTGCCTCTCTGCCTACTTGTGATCTCTCTGTCAAATAAATAAATAAATTTTTAAAAAACACCAAAAGTAAACAAGCAAAAACAGAAGCGAACAACTAAAATTAAACAAATGAACAAACCCACCAAAAGTATTACCCAAAATGGGTGAAGCCAGCGGACCTGTATATTTTCACTGTTTTTATTATGATCCAGGAAGTCCGTTAATTGCTGGGAATTCTGAAGTGAGCAAGAAAGCCCCACCATCCTTCATCCTTGAAGAGTTGAGATCCTGGTGGAGGAAAAAAAAACTTAAAACTGAGAGACTTCTCTCCATCAACCTCCTTCTTTTCTGTTAATTGGGAAAGAACTACATTTGTTTTACTTTACTAGGAATATACCTTTGTCCAGCTCTTGAGGAACAAACCGGAATAAGGTTTAAGAACAATTATCAAAAATATCAGAAACGAGGCAAGTTGGATGAAGGGTTCAAAAGGTATAAACTCCCAGCTAGAAAATAAATAAATCCTGGAGATGTCATATTCAGCATGGGGACTATAGTTAATAACACTGTATGCATATTAAAAGTTGCTAAGAGAATAAATCTTAAAGGTTTGCATCACAAAAAAATTTGTAACTATGCATAGATAGATGTTAACTGGACTTTTTGTAGCCATCATTTTGTAATATATGCAACATATCAAATCATCATGTTATACTACACCTGAAACTAACGTCATATGTCAGTTGTCTCTCAAACAGTAAGGCTCTGTGAACCAAATATATATTTCATAATAGTCCAGGTAGATGAGAAGCTTTCATGAGGCCCTCCCATGACTTAGCAGTGATCATTTTAACTCCACTATTTATTGAACACTTGTGTTAGCCCAGCACAGTGCTAAGCGCTTTACATCAGGGGCGGAGGAACCTTTTCTGTAAAGGGCCAGATAGTAAATATTTTAGACTTTGCATGCCATATGGTTTTTGTTACAACTACTCAGCTCTGCCTTTGTAGCACGAAATCAGCTGGAGAGGATAAGTAAACCAATCGGCGTGGCTGTACTCCAATAAAAGTTCTGTTTGCCAAAACAGGTGGCAGGTTGGATTTAGCTCGGGGGTGCCTCGTGTGCTGACCCGTGCTCCACGCTCCTCGCATGTCATTCTCTCAGCCCTACTGGGAAGTTGGTATAATTTTTCCCAATTCACAGATGCAGAAATGAGCTCAGAGAGGGTTGGTAAGGTGGCCACAGTTGCACAACTAGTAAGTGGCAGAGATTGGGTTCTAACTCGGCCCATCTGCCTCCAAAGCCCACGTTCCTCTCCTGCGTGCTCTTATCCCTCCCACTGCCCTCAGGGCCGGAGTTCAGAGCCCCCGCCTCGTCTGAAGGTAAATGCGGCCCACTCAGTTGAGCCCACTTCCCCCCTGTCCAGGTTTGACCTGATCGCCAATGGGGGTGCCTCCTTGACCCTGCACTTCGAGCGAGCCCCGTTCATGAGCCAGGAGCGCACTGTGTGGCTGCCATGGAATAGCTTTTATGCCATGGACACCCTGGTCATGAAGACCGAGGAGAACTCCATCCCCAGCTGTGACCTCAGTGGCTTTGTCCGACCAGATCCTATCATCATCTCCTCCCCGCTGTCCACCTTCTTCAGTGCTTCCCCAGGGCAGAATCCCATCGTGCCGGAGACCCAGGTAGGAATGGCGGGTACCAGGGTCGGACTCTTCCATACTGCCCCCCCCAAGACCAGTTGGCCAGCTTCCCCTCAACTCATCTCACTCTCTAGGTGGGCCAGAGACTAATACTACGGGGGAGGGACAAAAAAAAAAAAAAAATAGGAACACAATAGGATTCATGGTCACTGGAGAGAAAACTGAATCTCTCCTGGATATTCCAGATGTTTTCAGATAGTCGTTCAAGGCTTCGGCAGTCACTGGAGCTGTTAATAAAATAAAAACAATATACATATGTGGAACCCACCTGCAAATTGCTTTTTATTCCTGTTAGTCACAGAGATACATGATAAGAGGCACTTTAATGATCTACATCAGTGTTAGGACAGAGGGCATATTACATTATTGCCTCCCTGTTGCTTTATGCCAATTGTCACTGGAAGTTGCAGGTTCATATAATTACAGACTCTTGTGGCCTCCTTACATGCAGCTAGCAATAAAGCCTGCTGTTCTTATTTACATCTTCTGCCAACAGTGTGGTTTTTAAAAAGAAACACAACAGTGACCAGGAATAATTATTAATCCAAAAATCATAACCTCAGCCCCTTCACTCCATGGTGTAAGATAAAGTTTGGATGTTTTTGTTTTTTTCTCTCTCTCAGTCGTGGGAAGTGGTTCTTGCCCCCCACGTAAGGCATGACGCTTGGGTGAGCAGAGCAACAGACAGGCAACCTCAGGTTTGCAAGCGGCCCACTTGCCCGGAACTCATTGTTTGCAGTATCTCCTCCCCAGGTTCTTCATGAAGAAATTGAGCTCCCTGGTTCCAATGTGAAGCTTCGCTACCTGAGCTCCAGGACCGCGGGCTATAAGTCTCTGTTGAAGATCACCATGACCCAGTCCACGGTGCCCCTGAACCTTATCAAAGTTCACCTGATGGTAGCTGTAGAGGGCCACCTCTTCCAGAAGTCATTCCAGGCCTCTCCCAACCTGGCCTACACCTTCATCTGGGATAAGACAGATGCCTACAGCCAAAGGGTATATGGACTCTCTGATGCTGTTGGTATGTTTTGGTTTCAACTCCTTATTGACTCTTGGGTTTAGTCATGCATTAATTTGATCTATATCCGGTTCCTACCAGGAGTTCTACTGGCACTATCCTAGTTGAGAGGAATGCAGTAATCAGTGAGGAAGACAAGAGTCCTATTTCGTGGACCTTCTGAACTACTGGGGGATCAACATAATAACCACAGACGGGACAAGAAAATATTAAGCAGTGATACGTGCTAATATTGAAGTAAAAATAAGTGATATTTGCTGGGAGGCAAGAGTAACTGTGGGGGGGGGGGGCATTCAGGGAAGTCTCCTCGGCAGGTGACACTTCAGCAGGGGCTTGAATGACAAGAAGCAGCCATGTGAAAATCAGGGATGGAGCATTCTTTTTCTGGGGAAAAAGGGCAAAAAGAGCAAGGTGTGTTTGAAGGACAAAGAGAAGGCCATTGTGGGTGGAATGTATGGACAGGAGAACATTCACAATAGGGAAAAGAGGGGGAACAGGGCTAGATCATGTTCCAGAGAGCACTTGCAGATGGCTCAGAATGCACCACGAGAATCAGAAAACAGAGCTGGAGGGGATGTGAAAGCCACATGCTGTGTTTCAGCCTGTGCCTTTGAGGGAATTGCACGACGACCCACTGATGAAAGACCACCATAAGAAAAGAGTCTGTTGGTTTTCAGTCTCTGAAGACTTGTGAGCTGTGGATGAATACCAACCTACCCAGTATCTTTTCCTGGGTAAAAGAAAGCTGTGTAGAATTACAAAAATTAGAATTTTTGTAGAAAGCTGTGTGGGATTAATTAAAATCCAGAATCCTATATTTTCTTCACCACTAGGCTTGCAATTTCCAAGAATTATAATAAGTTACCGAAATAAGAAGCCAGCAAACTTGGAAATTCTGTCATCGGCAGCCAGTATTTATGAGACACTCCCTTTGTGCAGAGCACGCGCTAAATCCTTTATCTCCGGTAACCTCTCAATACCCTTATCAAGGAGGCACTCTCCTTACCCCATTGTGCCAATAAGACAGGACGGAGAGGGTGAAGGAGTTGCCTAAATCCTCATACCTAGCAGGTTACACATGCTCAGGAGATGGCTCTAGTGGTCTGGTTCATGGGCAAGTTCAAGTACTTCTTAATAAAGATGGTAATACGTGACTGAAGTAACTAGTGCCACTTAATATAAAGTGAGCAGTCAAATACTATACCAGTCTTTACCAATATCAAAATAATACCCAACATCAAAAAGCAGTTGAAATATTACAGTGCATCCCCATGCATCTAGCTTCTGGCATTATCAAGTCATGATGGATACTGGTTTTTCCATTCTTTCATCCACCTCCCTCCCTGCTCCTGATATTTTTCTGAGTCTCAGATATCGCATCATTTTATCCATAATATTTCACCATGTATCTCTAAAAAACTCTTCAAAAACATGCCAACGGTTATCACAATTTTTAAAATACTTATTTCTTAATATCTTCAAATAGCCCATTATTCAATATTTTGTTTTTCTTATGAATATCATAAAATATTAGTGCTTTGTTTTAACCAGAATCCAAGTAAGACCCACCTTTTGCAATTTTGATTTCTCTTAAATTTTTTTAATCTATGCTTTTCCCTTTCATGTCCAGCTCCTTTTTTTTTTTAAGTTCTGTATTTTATTTTGCATCAACTGCATTGTTTGCTTGTAGAATTTCCTATAGTCTAGTTTGTTTTCTGATTGTGTCCCTGTGGCTGCTTAAAATATTGCTTTGTTCTAGATCTCTTGTAAACTGAGTGGAATCTTGAGGCTTTCTAAGGTTCAGATTTGAGGTGTTTTTTTTTTTTTTAGTCTAGATCAACTTTTTTTTTTTTTATTGAGGCATGATTGATATTCAACATTACATTAGTTTCAGGTATAAACCTTTCCATATTTACAGATATTGTGCAGTGATCACAGCAAGTCTCTTAACATCCATCACACAATAGTTATAAATATTTTTTCTTGTGATAAGAACTCAAGACCTACCACTTAGCAACTTACAATATGCAATACAGTATCATTAACTATAGTTGCTATGCCATACATTGTATTCCCAAGACTTGTTTATTTAATAACTGGAAGTTTTTACCTTTAACTCCCTTCACCCACTTCTGTCACCTCCCACACCCTGCCTCTGGCAACAAGCCAATCTGTCTCTGTATCTGTTTTATTTTTTTAAAGATTCTACCTAGAAGTGAAATCATTCGGTAGTTTTCTTTCTCTAACTTATTCACTTAACATAATGCCTTCAAGGTCCATCCATGTTGTTGCCAATGGCAAAATTTCAGATTTTTTTATGGCTGAATAATATTACATACACACACACACACACACACACACACACACACACACAACACACACACACACAACTTCCTTATCCATTCAGCCATTAATGGACAATTAGATTGTTTCCATATCTTGGCCTTGTAAGTGATGCTGCAATGAACATGGGGCACAGGTGCTTTTTGAGTTTGCATTTTCATTTTCTTTGGACGGATACCTAAAGTGGAATTTCTGGGTCATATGGTAATTCTATTTGTATTTTTTTTTGAGGAACTGCATCAATTTACATTCTCACCAACAGTGCATGAGGCTTCCCTTTAGTCCACATCTCTTCCAGTACTTGTAATTTCGTGTCTTTTGATAGTAGCGATTCTAACAGGTGTGAAGTGGTAACTCGTTGTGGTTTTGATTTGCCTTTTCCTGATGATGAGTGATGTTGAGCATCTTTTTATGAAGCTGTTGGCCTTCTGTATGTCTTCTTTGGGAAAGTGTCTATTCAGATAGTCTGCCTATTTTTTACTTGGGTCGTTTGCCTTTTCATACCAAGTTATACGAGTTCTTTATATGTTTTAGATATTAACCCCTTATCAGATACAGGATTTGCAACTATTTTTCCCCATTCAGTAGGTTGCCTTTTCATTTTGTTGATGGTTTCCTTTGTTGCACAGAAGATTTTTAGCTTGATACAGTCCCACTTACTTATTTTTGCTTTTGGTGTCAAATCAAAAATTATCTCTAAGACCAACGTCAAGATGTCAAGACCAGCTATGTTTTCTTCTAGGAGTTTTATGGTTTCAGATCTTCCATTCAAGTCTTTAATCCATTTTGCATTAATTTTTGTGTATGGTGTAGAATAGTGGTCCAGTTTCATTCTTTTTCATGTGGCTGTCCAGTTTTCCCAACACCATTTATTAAGGGGACTATCTTTTCCTCGTGGTATATTCTTGCCTCCTTTGTTATAAATTAATTGACCATATATGTGTGGGTTTATTTCTGGACCATCTATTTCATTCTACTGATCTGTGTGTCTGTTTTTATGCCCATCCCATACTGTTTTGACTGCAATAGCTTTGTAATACAGTTTCAAATCAGGGTGTGTAATGCTTCTAGCTTTGTTCCTTCCCAAGATCACTTTGGCTACTTGGGGTCTTTTGCAGTTTCATACTCATTTTAAGATTGTTGTTCATTTTTGTGTTTCGGTGCTGTGCCATTGGAATTTTGTTAACGATCGCATTGAGTCCATAGATTGTTTTGGGTAGTGTGGACATCTTAATGATGGTAATCATTCTAATCCATGAACACAGAATATATTTCCATTTATTTGTGTCTTCTTCGATTTCTTCCATCAATGTCTTATAGTTTTCAGCATATAGGTCCTTCTCCTCTTTGGTTAAATTTATTCCCAGGTTTCTTATTTTCTGATTTTTTTATTAAGCAGGACAGCTGGATAGGTGGTACTATCGTCTTCCACCAGGAGGCATCTAAGGTCTTCTTGTTTTTCCTTCTGTGACTTTGGTGGCCATTGATGCTCATTGCCTAGATCCATTAGGTCATTAGGAATTGCAAAGTCATATTTTAATTTTGTCATTGCTTTTCCATTTATTAGTGGGAATACTTTTATACAGAGATATTTTCTCATTAGCTACTTGGTTATGTGAGGTATAGTTCAAATAAGAAAGAAGAGACAAATGCTCAATTGTTTCCCTTTATTTACTATTTTCAGTATAATAAATTGGTCCTCTAATATCCTCTAATGGTAGCAAATTAATTTTCTAGTATCATTATGAACTCATAGAATAAAATGTATCTAATATGTATCAACCCAGTGAAGTTATCCCTACTAATGGTTGAATTGTTTCATTTTTGGTCAGTGGGGCACTCTTCAGACTGACTCCCAGATTCTTTTGACATAACTCTAGTAGATTTTTATTTCTTCCTTGCTATCTGGTATAATAAAATGGCCTAGTCTCATCTTACACGTTTCTTGCTTCAGCCATTTCGTCAAGGAGCCCTGCCTGATTTCCTTTTAATGAGAAACAATATTTCAAGGCCACAAGCCAGACACTAGCAATTCTCTTTGCTTCTGGATTGATTGCTGCTTCTTAGAATTTTCACAGGACAAGTTAGGAAATATATGTGAGTTGTTGTTGTTGTTGTTGTTGTTGTTGTTGTTTAATAAAATGTATCTTCCATTCATATCAATGCTCCTATACTTCAGGATCTAAAAGAAGCCATGGAAAATCCCCAAAGGTGGCACACATAGTTAAGAATGTAATGTAGTAGGAATACAAGTAATAACAACGCCTCGTATTTCTGAAGCAATGTTGCATTTAAAAATGTGTGGCATCTTGGCATTTTGTCTCATTTATCCTTACCACATCTCTCGGAGAAACTGAGACTTCACTTACTCCGTGTTACACATGGGGAAAACAGAGCCACGAGAAGTGTGAGCAGGAACCGAGTTAGAACTGAAGTTCTTCATCTCCCACATCCCTCTCCCATTTGTCCATGTGGCAAACGCGGGATTTTTACAGTCTTTGGATGCTGTTCCCCACTGAATTGTCACATAATTGGCAGGCTTTGTCCCCGTGCCTGCCTTGCCTGGCACTCTCTGGAACCCTAAGTGATCATATAGAGAGCCTTAACTTACACAAGCTGTTGCCTCCAGAGTCTCCTTATAAATGAGGCACTCTGCTTCCATAGGTCTTCCTCCTCGTGAGTGAGAATAAATAACACCGAGTGTAATAAATGCATGCCGTGAACAGCAGCCTAAGAGAAACAGTCTCCTGTCCATCTCTAAAGGAGAGTTATATTTCATTTTTAAATGATGCTTCTCCTTCTACGTCACTAGGGTCATTTTTGAAAGCCAGCTGTTCATTGGAAAAGTCTTTCTATCCCCACAGAGTACTACTGTATAAAGTTTCAAGGCTGAGTTCAGCTTGAAATCTGAATTTAATATTGTGTGGAATCACAAGGAGAAAAGCAATCAACCCGCCTCCTTGAGTGAGTTTCTGGAAAGGAATCGGAATTACCATAAACATGTGTATCTCATTCCAGCTGGAAAGCTCGGGAGTAATCAAGGAAACTCTTTTCTCCACTCTGCCCCACCCACTTTTATCTTTCAGTGTCTGTTGGGTTTGAGTATGAGACCTGCCCCAGTCTAATTCTGTGGGAGAAAAGGACCGCCCTCCTTCAAGGATTCGAGCTGGACCCTTCCAACCTCGGTGGCTGGTCTCTGGACAAGCATCACATTCTCAATGTTAAAAGTGGTATGTGGGCTCATTTTCTTTCCCAAATACAGCTCCTCCAGAACCTTCTCTGCAGCCTTGACATTCAAGTGTAGACTGTCCTCTTCCCTCAGCATTTTTCATCAAATGTCCAAAATACTCATAGGTTTTTCCACCTTCTCCTTTAAGTTTTTTTAAGATTTATTTATTTATTTGAGAGAGAGAGAGCACATGCAAGCAGAGGGAGAGGGAAAGAAAGAGAATCTCAAGCAAACTTTGCACTGAGTGGGGAGCCCAACGTGGGGCTCAGTCTCACAACCCTGAGATCACGACCTGAGCCAAAACAAAGCCTAAGATGCTTAACCGACTGAGCCACCCCACACACCCCTCCACCTTCTCCTTTTAACTGTCAAAGAATGTTGGGCTGTATTTCCCCAACCACTGCCTTAGTGTACCTCACAATTCTTCTTCAGTTACCCCTACAAATTATATCTTAACCTTAGGGGTCACTGCCCCATTACAGCTCTCTCAGCATCATGAGGTAATAAAGGAGTTCCTCAGATCAAAATTTCCTACTGTTTCTATTCTCTCTAACACTGCCCCTTGCCCTCCATAAGCTGATAGAAGTATCCTCCTGGGAAGGCTGCAGTAACCATCCCCAATTCCTTTCCCCCAGGAATCCTACACAAGGGCACTGGGGAGAACCAGTTCCTGACACAGCAGCCTGCCATCATCACCAGCATCATGGGCAATGGCCGCCGCCGAAGCATTTCCTGTCCCAGTTGCAACGGCCTTGCCGAAGGCAACAAACTGCTGGCCCCAGTAGCTCTGGCTGTTGGAATTGATGGGAGCCTCTTCGTTGGAGATTTCAATTACATCCGGCGCATCTTTCCCTCTCGAAACGTCACCAGCATTTTAGAGTTACGGTAAGTGGCCACACAGAAAACCTTCCTTTGCTCTTTTGCTCCCATTGCTACAGAGCTTCACTGGGTAAATGATGACTACGTTGGGGATTCTCCAGAGAATATATATCCACATAATGGGCTGAGCTTTGAAACCTAGGTGCAGAATCAAGTAAGGGTTGGGAAATTGCTTTTTGAATCTATGAAACACAACCCACGTATTTGATACAATTGTTAACACCTGACTTAAAAACAAGAGTGAAAGCTTTAGGTCATGGTGCTTGAGATGGGACCTGAGTAGCTGTGTTTTGTAAAACCTCCACACAAGAATCTGACACATACCAGAGAAAGAACCAGGACTTCAAGATGTGGGTCTGCTTTAGTGGTTTCGGAAGTGATGCTTCTTAAAACTACAGATTGCTGGAGCCCACCCCAGAAGCACTGATTGAGTAAGTTTAGAGAAGAGCCAAGGCATCTTTTATCCTTGACAAGCTCTGTAGAAACTGGTGAGGTACATCAGGGTTTGAGAACCACAAATGTTCATTGACTAATTCACATGTTTATATTGAGTGTCTCTCTGCACTACCTTTCTATAAATTCTCTGGTTCTTTGCACATTCACTAGGATATGACTTAGAATTGCTGCATAGGCCTTGCTAGGTAACTTCTGGCCACACCTGGTAGATTCCTCCTGGTCATTGCTTGCTACTACATGTGAAGTCCAGACTCCTCTGTGCTGGGCAAAAGTTCTTGTAAACTCTCTTCCTGGGGAAGTTGACTCCAGGCCCTCAAACCTAGTTCTGTAACTGGAGAAGAAATGAAGTCTATAAATAAGAGATAAAATTCTTGGTGAATGTGTAATATGTATCAAGACTATCTGCCAAGGGAGGAGAGGATGGTTGGGAACAAGCAAAGCCCTAGTTGTTGTATTTGTGGTCTGATGGGGAACTTCAAATCATGTGGACAAATTAAAAATAATAATAATGATGCTTTAAGGGAAACCTAACAGGGTAAAAATTAGGGGCTGTGGTGGGGATTGGGAGGGTTAAGGAAGCTATATGAGACAGAGTAGTCAGAGAAACATTTCATACTATGTGACATTTGAGATGGGACCTGAATGATGAAGTCAGCCATGTGAAGATCTGGGAAAAAGTATTTCAGGCAGAGAGTAAGTTGTGCAAAAGCCCTGATATAAACAAATAATCTGGTTTATTTAAGAGACTGATGTAAGTCCAATATGGCTTGGAGGGTAGTGAGGTCAGGAGAAAGGTCTCTGAGGAGGTCAGAAAGGTCAGAAAGGTCAGGAGGTCAGAAAGGACTAATGCTTCAGCATCTTATGACCTTGTTGACAAGTGTAAATTATATTCTCATTACAATGCATGGCTATTAGATGTTGAAGTGGAGTAGAGTTGACATGACCTAATTTTCCTTTTTTAAAGATTATTTTGGTCATTGTGTTAATCAATGGACTGTACGATGCAAGTGTGGAGCACAGAAGGCCACAGGGAAGTGTAACAATTGACTAGGATTTGGGTGATGGTGGTGGGTAGCAGGGGAGATAAGGGAGTGTTCCAACTGGGAGATATTTTCAAAGTAAATGTGATGGGAATTGTTGATGGATCAGGTGGAAGAAATGGAGAAAAGAAAAAAAAGGAATCAAGGGTGATGACTAGGATTTTGACCTGGGCACCTGAGTAGGTGGTGGTGCCTTCTGAAGCAGCCTCAGTTACCACGTGAAGGGCTTAGAGGAAGTCGCAGGTTTGCACCTGCCTTTTAGTGGCCCCTTCTAGGAGAAAGATAAGTGACTGGAGGATCAGCAAGTGCTGCTTAGTGTTTCTGGGAGCTACAACTGTGCTGACCACTGGGAGGGATTAAAGGAGGAAGAGAGAGAGAGGAGAAAACCCCAACTCCACCTCAGGAAGGTTACAGCCTCAGGGATCCAGTGGGCATTTACTGAGCATGATGTGAGCCAACCATATGCTGGCTCTACAGGTCTAGAAGGGGATGAAACAGGCTCAAAGGGCACCCAGGTGAGGGTCACAGATGGGCACCAGGCAGGGAGGGACAATTCGGGCTGACTGTTCTAGAAGAACCAATCAAGGAAACCATCAAGGAAGCAAGGGGAGGCCATGGGGCGGACTAGGAGGGTATAATAACCAAAAGATGAACAATGAGAGGAGGAAGGAGATAAAATAGAAAAGGCTAGATAATCCTCAAGCTTTCAAATTGATCATCAGATGAACCACATTTCCTAGAGCTCCCCAGCTAGGTCTCCTTCCCAAAACATTTATTTCCCTTTTTATCCTAGGAGAGTCCTCTCTTCAGGAATCCCGTAGGCAGGGGAGAGCCAGGGAAGGAGGCGGGGAAGAGGGTGAAGGTAGCATTCTGCTTTCCCATGAGGGATGCATTTTTTTTTTTAATCTGGCATTTTTTTTAAATCTGGCAATTTGTCCGCATTTCACCCTTACTTCTTTGTTGTGGCTCTAGGTGATCAGCCAAACCAGCACTTGCCCGCTACATCCCTGGCTCCAAACTACTCATGCTACTCGCTCTACTTAAATACTTTCTCTATCTAATCTGCCTCATTGTGTCCATCTTTAAAGCTCACTTTGAAGGTTCCTGTCTTCCATAAAGCCTGACCTCCCTTGCAGAAATAATTCTCACCTTCCTCTGGGTCACTTCAACTCTAGTTTTCCACCAAAGTTGACTCTCTTTACTGCCTTTTCAGTTATTTCCATGCAAGTCTTCAGGGCCCTAGTGTTTGCACTTCTAGAGTGCAGATGCCTTTGGCACTTTGCCCCTTGATACCTAGGGTACTGCCTGGTCCACACCGGGGGCTCAAGACACATTGCTTGAGTTAAAGGAGACACACACCAGTGTCCTGCCTTTTGTTGGAATTCTCCCTGATTCCAGGTTTCTCAAGTTGTAGAGGCCACAACGTTAATGATAGGAGCTAAAGGCCCTCTCAGAGCAAGCCACGCTTCACCCACATGGTGACATCAAGCTACAGGGAGTGTAACTGCCAATTTCCCTCAATAGATGTGTGGTTTGGTTTGGTTTGGTTTTTAAACTTTTTAACCACCTTTGGACTTATTCTTGCTTTCATCAGTCAAGTATCCAGAGATGATTAAAAGTAAGCTTTTACAAGAACACTGGTTTGATTTTTCTTTTCTTCCCACTACATACCAGAAAACAAAGGGCTGTCAATCCCCTCTCTTCAAAACAGTAACCAGCAGAGGGAGGGAGGAGGGGAAAGAGAACTGTCTTGCTTATGTCTTTTCTCCATTGTGAGATGGCAGCTGAATGATTTCGTTTCAGAAGTCGGTGCCCTTCCAATCTCACTTATATACCCCAGAGCTGAGCTTCTGAATCAGAATTGTATATAAATGTTCCCATGGTTCCTTCACTATCCTTCTCTATTCCTCCTTCCTTTGCCTATCCAAAACATACAGGGGCAGAGTTCTACACACTTGGAAAGCTTCTAATGTTAAAAAGAGCTGCCTTCTTAGGTAAAATGGTTATCGCTCATATGTTTCAGTTCCATTGGCATTCAAGACATTTACAATATCCACTTTCCCAAAAAACCCGTTATCCACCCTTAGCAGCCCATTTCCTTTCTTACAACTACACCCTCTCCAGGTGATCCTTGGAAAACCCAAGGCTTATAGAGTAAATTTATCAGTCACTGACATCCTAGAGTGAATTTCTGTTGTAGGAAAATCTTACCTTCCTCCCCAACTTGAGATTATTTTAGGGATTGGATCACAATGGAAGGCAATAAATTATAAGGTATGGGACAGTGCCTCTCTCCCTTTTCTTAACTTGACCTCTTGTACTAAGACATAAGAATCTCACACTTTCTATGATACTTGAAATTCTAAAAAAATATATATTTTCCAAATACAAAATTACATTATGATATTAAATATCACTTCGACTTCCCAACTAAACACTTCCCCATGCTGAGATTCTGACAGTGCTGTTGAAGTGGGGCAATAGCAACATTGCATCAGAGAAGAGCTTTAGGGAAGGGAATTGTCCAGTCCAGACGTGTTAGTGCTGGAGAGGGAAGAGTCACAAAAGAGTGAGAGCCTAGGAACGAGGGCAAGGGCAGAAGAGGTTGGAAGAATCCTTCACCAAAGATAAGCTTTGCCTGAGAATTTCAACAGGAGATGCTGCTTGATACCAGTATAGAATGTTAGGGAGGAATATATGGTTCTAGTTACCAAGGAAATGCTTTCCTTGTCTGGTCAGAGTATAAACACCAAAGTCATGAAACAAAATACAACACAGCATCCCTCCCCAGAAATACAACAACCACAATATTCCCATGAAACTTTGAGCAATTCTTGGCATTGTTTTCAAAGCTCTTTTACTAAGACAGGTCCAGGTTTCATGGAGCCTGAATCTTACATAATTTCAGAGTGAAACTGAATATTACTCAGGATCAGAAAAGAAACCAAAACAAATTACACGTTTTGAAAAACTGAAAATTAGTACAAACATCACAAAGTCCAGATAAATTACCTAAATTTTTTTATTCATTAAGTACTAGTACACTTCCATGATAATTGTTTTCCTATACTTTTTGGCTGCATACTCTTTGATCATCTTTTAATATGACAATGATTTTATACTGTCATTATCTATAGAAAGAATAGATCAATATTCTGTCTTTCCTCTAGGACAATGATAGTCAAAATGTGTTTCAGATAATTGATAAATTAGTAAATGTTTCATGTTCACAATTGATTACTGGTGATGTCGTGAAAATTGTTAGAGTTTAAAATTTGGGGAAAGCCTTAATCAAGCTTCTCTCATAGTATTTCTGGGCACTTCAGGTTTCCTTGTACAGTGAATAATCTGAGTAGTCTTTGAGTGGACACTCATGAGCCAACTTGTCATTGATGTCCTGGTAATAGTGAAATATTCTGTGTAAGTCTTTAGAGTGCTAGCATGTAAGCTTCTGTAGAGCAGGCACCTCTGGCATCTTAGCCCTTGGATGCCTAGAATAGTGTTTGGTCCACAATAGGGGTTCTAGACCCACTGCTTGAGTTAAAGGAGACACAGACCTGTGTCCTGCCTTGTGTTGGAATTTGTCCTTGGTTCCATGTCTCTCAAGTTGTGGAGGCCATTAACATCAATGGAATGAGCTAGGGGTCCACTCAGAGTAAGCCAAGCCACACTCATTTGGTGACATGGGGCATTACACTCCCAGTAATAATGCTAGATGAATCTGCACAATCTGAAAGCCACTCCTATACCATAATGACTAACAATAATCTAACTAGACAGAGAAAGAACTCCATATGAGTCACATAAACATGCTCCCCCAAATCTAAACTAAATTTATCCCAACCAGCTTCCCTTTCCTTAGAATTCAAACAAACATAAAACTGGGGCCACTCCAGTTTCACCCTATTCTATGGCACAGGGATAGTTGGAAAGGAAGGAGGCAATAGTCTCAACTGATTGCAGCTTTGTGATTCTGAGCAGAACATGAGTGACTGGAACAAGTCCAAGGCATGGTCTGCCCAGCACTAAGGGAAGCAGCCTCATTTCTTCCTTCTCTCACTCAAGAACCCATTTTCCCAGTCCTTACTCTCTCCAGGGCTCGCTACTAAGAATCAGCACCAAGGAGATGAGTATGCCGTATCCATATTTACTTGCTCCCATTCACAACAAAGTGAGGAAGACAAACACACACACATAAATCACAAGACAGCCTGATGAGGGCTCTGCACGATGAACTGTGTTTGGAGAGCCCTGAAGACCTCCCAGAGGACTCACTGAGACTCACAATGTGCAGAGCTAAGCCATCTTGATTCTTGAATCCAAGACCACCTTGCCCTTGAAGGCTCTGCCTAAAGGGTTTGCATTATTGAGGCATGGACACACATCTTAGGCCTGTCCTTGTAAGGAAGGCCCCAGTGCTGATCTACATAGACTGACTCAGTGCTGCTATTTTAGGTTGTTGGCTGCTAAGCACCCACTTTGCCAATGGCCCTGGACTGGTATAGCAGTGACTCAGCCTTTCTCCAAAGCTCATATCCATATTATCATTTGGACTATACCCTCAGTGACTTGGTCTCCCCACTCCTGCCCTTCTCCTTTCCCCAGCATAGATATTATATTAATCAACTTAAAGCAGATGTTCTCAGGAAAGAAGTAGGTCAGGTCTGCAGACCCAAATCCCAACCAGTCTTTTCACAAAATCTTGACTAAAAAACTGGAATTGATATTGCAATAATTAAGAGCCAAATATGACTACCACTGGTGGCAGATAACATTTCACTTTCATTAAGCAATATAAAATAGACGCGAGAATTCCCGGCTGCCACGCTGACATACCAGGCTTTGCAGAATGAATCTTAAATTGCACTATGTCATTCAGAGCTCAGGAGTTATCAGCATCATTTAATTAACTTTTTTTTTTTTTTTAACGAAAACTAACACATTGGAATAAAATATAAAAATGTAATCCCTGTGCAAACCCACTACTAATCATGGCCCCTGGCAGAGGCCCGGGCTTCACCTAAGCAGGAATCAGGACATTAAACCCTCTTTGCCCCTTCCGTGAAGCCTGGTTCCTCAACCAGAAGGGAAGAGGGGTTAAGGACTCCTTCCACTGTGGTCTTAGAAGCCTCAGGAATGAGAAGCAGTTCACTTTATTGAGACCTTAGCTTCTCTCCTCTTCACCTAATGCTATTAACTCTAGCCACTTTCCTGTTGAAATTGGCATGTATTTTTGTTCTAAAAACAAAAACAAACAAAACATTTACCACTTTCCCAGAAAAGAAATAGTAACTGGAGTCTTTGGCTGCAATTATGAGTGGATATTAATAGCCATGAATTTTACCTATGGGTGTTATCTGTAAGAAAGAATGCATACTTGGGGTCCCAGATATGCAGAATGAGACAGCGAGAGGGAAGGTATCATGGAGCAGGGATAGGAAATGGTTAAGACTCTCAGGGTCCAACAGAATGATTGCCAAACTGCAGATGGATTTGGGAAGAGGCTTTCTTGGGTGGTGCGGACTCTACCCTATAATGCACCAATGGCAAATAGATGGCACAGGTGGCACCAGGCTCCTTCCCACACCCAGGACAGACATTACAAATGAGTCACAGCACTCTACAGCTGGGCCTGCATTTGGCTTCAGAATCGTACCCCCGCCCTCCTGCCAGCCCTTACTCATCAATAGGTATTGGCACTCAAGAGGTGACCTATTTGGAATCCTTTCGTTAGCCGGAAGACCTGTTTCACCTATTGCCACCTATGTCATGGGACAGCCACATTGCTGGTCAGAGAATTCAAGCATTCTTGTCTAGATTTTTCAATGGCCAGGAGGAGTCCAAAATCAGGAGTTCTCCCCACGTGACTGAGTCAGGAGCTGTCAGCTAGAAGGGAAAAAAAAAAAAAAGACTGCTTTTTTTGGGCCCCTTTATATAAGAAATGAAAATGTTGTGTTTGCTTTATCATCAATTCTTCAGCTAACTGTTTGTTCTTTTTCCTTCTGTTTTCTTTCTATAAAGAAATAAAGAGTTTAAACATAGGTAAGACCAAGAACTCTTTCCCGTATAATTTGATATGGTTTGTTTGCTTCCTTGTGTTTGCTTTTTGTTTTGTGCTTCTTGTGTAATGTTGTGTATTTTTATGTACCAAATATAGTAACTTTTTTATGTGCTAATTGTGTGTTGTGGATACGATAAGCTTTAGCAATTATGAAATGCAGTCAAAAAGCAACCAAATAAGCTGACAGTAATTAGAATTTCCGGGAGATGCAAGTGCAAGATAATGAACCCTCAGCGAACTTTTATCCTGACTGCTCAGTGCGGTCCATAATTGGGCTAAACAGTTGAGGCAAACTTCTGGCTTTTGTAAATGCTGGACTGGGTTCACAAAAGCTTTAATGAACTGGAAACGGGTCAAAAACTCATTTTCAACTCATTAATGATTTTTTCCCCTGGATATATGGTCATTTAAAAAAAAAACAAGTTAATTGCCAATCTGCTGGTCAGAATGAATCCAACAGTCAGATGCATTGGGAATTTTCATCGAGTTAAATCACTTTTAAGTAGTAGGTAGGGTGTAGTCCAAGTAGTTTTTGTCTAAATAGCCTTTGTCATTCAACTGCTCCAGGTTATCATTTAAAACAATATTGGTAAAATTCACATATATAGTGCACAACACACATATGTGTGCATATGGCTCTGGGGAGCTTCCCATTACAAAGTCACGAAAATGTCAGGACCCCAGGTTGCACTGAAATGGAGGAAAGGTGGCCTTTTTATTTGGAAGAAGATAGAAAAGCAAAACGATGTATTTTAATACTCAAGGGAATGCTTCTTCTTACTTCTTGAAATGAAACAGGGAAGGGACTTCTTCCTGATGTTACATGAGAATTAGACATAGAGAGGAGTCAGGTTTTACAGGATCATCAAAGTCTGTGGAAAAGCCATGCATATAAGCCCTTGGCCTCCTCCTCCATACTCCAAAACTGGGATGCTTATAGGTACCCAAACTGGGCCAAGTTTAAAAAAAAAATCAACAATGCCCTGGAAGGACACTCTCCATTCAAATTCACATATCCCATTTGACCTTCACCATAGCCACAGATATGGAAACACGGCTGTCCATCTACCCAAGAGTCTCTGTAAGAATCTTGGTTGGGATGGGTATGACACCATGGGGAAGAATAAGACTCCAGCAATGACTGACCCCACATCCTCACACATCTGCTCTTCTGCCAGAGTTTTTGAAAAGCCTCTTTGAATTGGGCTCCCTAGAAAGCCCAGAATTAATTATCTTGCTCATAGATAGGCACAGATGTGCAGTGCCCTCATCCTTCTGTTGATCACACCAGCCACTATTCATTCAGTAACAAAGTACAGCATCTAATTAAAAAATGGCATGAAGTTTTCCCTTTCTGCCCTAATTTGTTTTGCATATGTGGATATTCTCTAAAGAGTTAATAGCCAAAAAAAAAAGAAGAAGAAGAAGAAATAAAAAAGAGAAGAAGTAGGAAGATAGAGAAGGAAAGAAAAGGAACCCTGGTAGCCTACTCTTTTAAACAAGTTATCTAGGCTCGAATTTTAGAAAGACCTTGACTTCCAGTTCAATTATGTGTCTTAATAGCAACCTGAGGAGAAGCTGGAATTAAAGATGGTCTCGATTCACAAATTGTTCCTAAAAATAGCTTCATAGTTCTTTTCTTCCTTAAATCAGGGAAGAACCCAAATAGGGGTGTTTTAATTAGTAATTTGCCAGCTGATGTCTACAAGACAAATGCATCCAACACAATGATCCCCCTCACCTTGCCTTCACCTCTCCCATCCCTTTCCTTCCTATAATTCCAAACTACAATGGAAAAATAACTGAAAAACAAGAGGCCTGTGCTCATTTTCAGCATGTGGCATCAAAACCTTGTCTACCACCCTAGGGCAGAGAGGCATTGACTAGAGGTATCCTAGAGGCAGTGATTTAATAACAGTATAGGAATAGCATGAGCTCCTATTCTGGTCGGAACCTCCATAACGCGATAGACACTGCAAAGGGAAGAAACAGTAGGGTTTTGAGCCAAAAGGGACATGAGCAATGACCCGATTTCTTCATTATCCAAACCAGCAATCTAGGACCCAACATGGCCAAGAGACTTACCTCAGGTCACCAGCTGTGTCAGTGTTGAGTTTAGAGTTTCCTGTGTCTTAGTCTGTCCTGATCTGCAGCATGTAGAACAGCTAGATGCACGGCAGAGAAAGAGGTCCAAGTCTCTGAGGCTTAGTGCCTTCCTATTACATTTCTCACACACAAGAGAATTTCTGTCCTAGTGTAGCTTAGGGCCTTGACAGATCTTGGTTCACACCTGTGGCCTCACTAGTACCCAAATTTGAAAACTATGTCTCCTCCCTCAGTAATCCAGATTCTGGGTGTGATATCAGCAAGACATCAAATTTCTTTAAAAAAAAAAAAAAAGCCAACTTTATTCATATCCACACTGAAGGAGAGTAGAGAAGATCTGAGGTGCGGACTGGGGAATCCCTTTGGGAACCTCCCATCACAAAGTTAGGAAAACTTTAGGTTGCCCCAGTCTTCAGGATCTGGTATCCTGGAAGCACTGAGAAAACATGGACTAGAAAGAAAACCTTGTCTCATGGAAGTGTTCCTCAATCCCACTTGAGAAACATATCAAACCCATAGGGGGAGGTAAAGAAGACTGATACACACAAAACATGAACACAAAAGCAGGACCAGAGCGGAATCTTTCCTACCAGCTAAATGAAACCATGGTATTTTAGCACGATGGGAAACGATGAACCCTCTGCGTAGCCTGAGGAGCTTAGGTCCAGTCAGAAGGCAGTAGCTAAGAGCCAGGACGTGTGAGAACACTAAGCTGTTGTGTTAGATTCTTTCCAGTTCAATAAAGTGGAAAGACGCTAGAAATGTCTAAAGTCTTGCTAGGATTTTTGTCATCTCTTTGATCCCGTAGGCCAGCTGCTTAGCCCCCTTCTCATTTCTCTCTCTGCTTCTTCCAAAGCAACAACCCAGCACACAAATACTATTTGGCAGTAGACCCTGTGTCCGGCTCTCTCTACGTGTCTGACACCAACAGTCGGCGAATCTACCGAGTCAAGTCTCTGAGTGGAGCTAAAGACCTGGCTGGGAATTCAGAAGTGGTGGCGGGGACCGGAGAGCAATGCTTGCCCTTCGATGAAGCCCGTTGTGGGGATGGAGGGAAGGCCGTGGATGCCACCCTGATGAGCCCTCGAGGTAAAGGCTACCAAGGAAGAAAACCCCTCCCCGAGAATAAGTTTGTCTCAAGCTTGGCTTGCTTCTTAACTGGAAGTGAACTAAGCCCAGGCAATCCCAAATATAGCTTCCCCTATAGTAATCTTACTCTGATAGTTTGCTTTGATGTGTGGGTGTTTAAAAAAAAAAAAATTGTGTTTATCTGAAGTAAACGTCATCACCCACATAGACCACAAATGGAAAGTGGGGTGGACTGCTCCTAGAGATTTCGGACTGCTGCCAGTCACACGGAGTCAGGGGGAAATGTTAGCTCCATGAGCCAGAGTGGCGACTGTTCAGGCTGGAGACAGAGCCCAGTGAGGGCCTCCAACCACTCCCAGATGTTCATGTTCGACAATAATGTGCATAGTCTTAATCACAGGCCCTGACGTTTTTTAAGAGTCCAGTGAATGGTAGCAGTTAAGAATGCGATTAATTTCCAAGGACCTGGGATTGGCCAGGGGGATGGGGGAATGTTCCTAGAATTGAAGGAACTCTGTTTGATAAGGACCAAGGATACTTAGGGTTAAGGACGGATTGGTCCTTCGAAGGCCCAGTTCTTATTAGCATTCTTAGCTACCACTAAAGGATCTGGCAGTGTGGATTAAGGATGAGGAACCTTGGGCTTGGGCCATAGGGTGAAGGTGCACAAGAAATAGAAGCCACTGTGTGCATTTACAGGGAGAGTGCTAGGACAGGTGTTCCCCCAGGGCATACTGAGTAGAGTCAAGGCTTAACTGGGAATGTTTCCTGAAGGATATATTTTGAATTGGGAGTCTGTGATAGCAAGAATCCCTGTTTCTCCATCTTGTTGTTGTAATTAGTTGTGAAGGGTATTCAAGTAATTTACTACCAATAATTTTTCAAGTAATGAACTTGGGAAATAACTTCTTTTCTGAAGAGAGCAGATGCCAAGTTATTTCCCCATTCATTTATTTGTAGACTTAGCTCATTTGCAGCCCAAAGTTCATTCTTCAGTTGGGTGGTGATACAGCCAGCACCCCAGGAATTATGCAGGTCTCAGCACAGTGCTCATGAGAAAGGGTGTTACCTTTAAAGGTTGAGAGCCACTGCTCGAAGCCTGAGCATTCATCCAGTAAGGTCCCCAGTCCTAGAAGGTAATGCCCAATAGAGCATCCCTACCTCTACCCCTCAAGCCCTACTCCTTGCCAAGAGACACACTCCCACTGTTTGTCTTGATCAGGTATTGCAGTAGACAAGAACGGGCTCATGTACTTTGTTGATGCCACCATGATCCGGAAGGTTGACCAGAATGGAATCATCTCTACCTTGCTGGGCTCCAACGACCTCACTGCTGTCCGGCCACTGAGCTGTGACTCCAGCATGGATGTGGCCCAGGTAGGACTTTCTTATTTTTCATCAACTATGCCACACTTGGCTCTTAGCCTGAAGTTCTCACCTGCAGCCTGTTTGGGTTGAAAGTGGAGTGGGAGGAAGAAATATAGATACAGATTACAGGTTTGTTTGTAGAAGGTTTGAGATGAACTAGACAGCAAGATGGAATGAGAAATGTCAGATAGGAATGAGAGAGAGCACAAGAGAGAAAGGAAAGCAGTGGGTTGGGGGGTGGGGGTGATTTCTGCTCAGATAGTGGAGCTGGTGACACACTCCAGCCATGGCAGATTACAGGGTAGGAGTTACTGTGTAATTACCTCTTTTCTCCATCATTATTGCAGGTTTGAGAATGTACTATACAGTGTTATATGTCAATCAGAACTTCCCTGTTAATCTGAAATGATTGCATCCTTACTATATAAACCTTTACTTTGTGCAGTAGTAAACTAGAGCAGAGCTGTCTACAATAATCTCCCAAGTGATATTATCTTGGTATGGGCTCTTATGGGGGCAGAGAAGAGAGGCTCATACAGATGTGCAGCAGGAGAAACTGAACTTTATTAGATAGATCCTCAAACATCCTGAAATACATGTTTGCCCTGTCTATAAGGGCCTTTTCAACCTTTAGTCAACCTCATTAATTTCAGCTCAAATTGCACAACAAACTGACAGTTGCCACTGAGATGGTCCCTTCAGTTTTGCAGAAAAGGCCCAGTTCATTTCTTCCAGCAAATTCTCAAGTTGTAGTTCACTAGCCAGCCTGTGCATTGGTGGCCCACAAAATCAGCGTGGCTTCTTTTGTGTATTAGATAAAAGAGCTGCCTCGAAATGAACATAGCCTCCTTAGGCCCATAGCTTGGTGAGCAGAGGCTGTGATGGATTACATTAGCCCCTTGTGCAGTGAATTATCTGTACAACTGTATATGAGGACTATGACCTTGGTCCAATCATCTGGGACGGGGAAGAGCATCATGGCTAGAGCTGGTGATCTACTCTAGGCACAGTAGATGATATCACAGGAAATGTTTGTTACATGTGTACACTCAACATGGGCAGTTAGCAAGTGGTTTGGTGATGGGCACTTCTCATATAGTGTGGGTAAAAAAGTCCTTTTCCCCAGCTGCATAAAACCAATAGATGTGCCCTACTGTTAAACACTGGGCATGTTAGAGGCTGCTCCTTAATTTGATGCCATGTCATCCACAGGTTCGCCTGGAGTGGCCAACAGACCTTGCTGTCAACCCCATGGACAATTCCCTGTATGTTCTCGAGAACAACGTGATCCTTCGAATCACTGAGAATCACCAAGTCAGCATCATCGCAGGACGCCCCATGCACTGCCAGGTTCCTGGAATTGACTACTCCCTCAGCAAACTAGCCATTCATTCCGCCCTGGAGTCAGCCAGTGCCATCGCCATTTCTCACACTGGGGTCCTCTATATCACCGAGACGGATGAGAAGAAGATTAACCGTCTACGCCAGGTCACAACCAACGGGGAGATCTGCCTTTTAGCTGGGGCAGCCTCAGACTGTGACTGCAAAAATGACGTCAATTGCAACTGCTACTCGGGAGACGATGCCTACGCGACTGACGCCATCTTGAATTCCCCATCGTCCTTAGCTGTAGCTCCGGATGGTACCATCTACATCGCAGACCTTGGAAATATTCGGATCAGGGCGGTCAGCAAAAACAAGCCTGTTCTTAATGCTTTCAACCAGTATGAGGCTGCATCCCCCGGAGAACAGGAGTTGTATGTTTTCAACGCCGATGGCATCCACCAGTACACTGTGAGCCTGGTGACTGGGGAGTACTTGTACAATTTCACTTATAGTGCTGACAACGATGTCACTGAACTGACTGACAATAACGGGAATTCCCTGAAGATCCGTCGGGACAGTAGTGGCGTGCCCCGCCACCTGCTCATGCCTGACAACCAGATCATCACCCTCACAGTGGGCACCAATGGAGGTCTCAAAGTCGTGTCCACACAGAATCTGGAGCTTGGCCTCATGACCTATGATGGAAACACTGGCCTCCTAGCCACCAAGAGTGATGAAACAGGATGGACAACTTTCTATGAGTAAGTACATTTGTAAAGTATTTCTCGACAGCACCCTATCCAAGCTGGCAGCAGGATTGGCTGTCCACGTAACTTTTAGAATTGCTCAGTCACTTTGTTTTCCTTTTTTTTTTTTTTTAAAGATTTATTTATTTGACAGACAGAGATCACATGTAGGCAGAGAGGCAGGCAGAGAGAGAGACATGGACAGGAGGAAGCAGGCTCTGCACTGAGCAGAGAGCCTGATGCGGGGCTCGATCCCAGGACCCTGAGATCATGACCTGAGCTGAAGGCAGAGGCTTTAACCCACTGAGCCACCCAGGTGCCCCTGTTTTCCTGACTTTAATGTCACCTTGTGGCCTCAAGATATTCATGTCCCCTCTCCCTGACTTCGAAGTGATTTGCACTGTTGGGTCTCTGATATTGAACATCCTCCCTACAAGGGCTGGCGATTTCTTTTGCCTGCTTGCCTCTCCAGTTTCAGAATATTGGACAGGCACAGCACCTGGGAGAGCAAGTGCTCATTAACTTTGCTGATTATTCATGTTTGCCATGGGTGCGGAAATGAGAATCTAAAAGGCAAGATCCTGGTGGGATTCCCGTAATTTGCCAGTAGGTCCAGCAACACACTTGATTGCACAGGCAGGTAGATAAACTCTGAATTTCCTCCTTAGCAGAAGCAGATCAATACAGATAAAGTGCTAGGTATATTAAAAGATGTGAGAGCTGGTCATATTTCCCCTAACAATTATCTCCTGCTTAATAGTCCCGCCGTTTGTTTTGCCAAAAAAGCTGTTTTCCGTCACTCCTGCAGCCAGCGCTTGGTCACACTGCCTGCTGCCGCAGGTATTAACCAGTGGGATGCTGGCTGGGGAAAATTGCTAAGGCGTGATTCCCCCAGTCCCTGCTGAGACTGGGATGGAATTTGCAAGTGTCTGGCTCTCTGTGATCGTGAAGGATCTGGTTAAGCTCCCATTTGGAGTCCTTGCTTGCTTTCTGTTGAGGTGTTGCGGCTGGCTGAGAACTTAGTGAGTTGGGGAGGGGCTGTTGCAGAGGGAATGGGGGACAAGCGAGAGAACAGAAAATCCCATTGTTGATAACTCCTAAGTCCAGGAATTTTCACTTCCAGTTGGTGGGCAGATGGGTTTGGGAGCATGGAAAGGAAGCTGTTGCCACCTGCTGGAAATTTCCTGCATTGCATAATTGCTTTCCCTTCCTCTCTTCTGCCTTTGGGCCAAGCTGTCATTCTCGGATTTCAGAAGCATCCTAGTATCCTTCAGGCGCTGGGACTTGATCAGACTTTACCAGCCAGTGATTCTACCCCTGTAGGCACCATCTGAGTGCTATCTTTAGCTCTCACACCAGCTTGGGCTAAAACTATATGATAACCCCAACACCTGTTAGATTTTCACTTTCTAGCAGTTCCACCTAAGGACCCAGTGCATTTCAGAGATAATTTGTGGGCTGACATGACTGAGGACAAAACAATGTCACTCTCAGAAGGCCAGAATTAGGCTTGACTTAGAGACCATAATAAAGAAGTTCGGCCGTGGGTCTGCCTTTAGACACTAGCTCTAACTGGGAGAGTATTTTTCCAGGAGGGGACCCTAGTTGAATTAAAATAGGAGCAGGATGCTTTTTTAAAAAGAAGAAGAAGAAGTTCACAAGTTACATGGAAACTGCATGATTGGTCTCTTAAAGAGCTGCTTTTTGGTAATGTGGATAAATCCAATTATCACAAATTCTCAATTGTAGGGCTTCAAATGCATTAGGTTTTCTTGTTCCTCCTAAAAAGATGGTGAATTCCTTTTGTTGAGTACTTTTACACATGGTCAGCTGGGGAAGAGCAGCCTGCATCCCTCAAGGGCCCAGGACTCTACTTAAAATTACAACCACCCCTACACATGCATACTCTGTCTCTCTCCCTCCTTTATTTTAATCCTTACCACTTGTTACCATCTGACATACTCTCTATTTTAAACCATGGTTTATTTTTGCCCTCTCCATCATGTGTACATCACAGAAGCAGGGATTTTCACCCATTTTGTTCTTAGTCATGTCTCCACCACCTCAAACAGTGACGGACTTATAGTAGGCAGGCAGTAAATACTTGCTGAATAAATGAGTCTTTGATCCCTTTGGCCTCACACAGGCCAAGACTGCAATGGCTCCACTAAGTGGCCTCCAGATCCCATTACTGGAACACATAGCTCCTCGCAACTATGTGTAGACTTACTTGCAAAGAGACCTGAACCTGAAAATACTCCATGGGCAAGTTAGCACAGCTGTAGGAAACTTACTCTTCTTTGAAATTTAAAGAGAACATAATATGCTCTTCCTGTGGCCCCTGAGATCCTGGCCTCAAGCCCAATCCTCTGTTCTCCAAAACTAGAATCTCCAGTTTCTACTACAGCTCTCATTAGGAAGCATGGCAGCCGGCACCACCATCCAGGTCCAGGTGCGTTGGAATTAAATCTTTGCCTGGATCCCAGGTCACGCAACTCCCCATACAGTCCCGGCTTGCCTGAAGGAGTTGAAGGTATTATCTGATACTGAGTAGTCCATTAGGTACCCTGTACACAAAGACTTAAAAGTGTTTTCTTATTTTTATTGAGATAAAATTGACATACTGAAGTCAAATTGACATAGTCAACTGTACACAAACAGAAGTGTTTTTTTTATTGAGATAAAATTGACATAGTCAAACATCAACATAATGATTTGATGTTTGTATATATCGTGAAATGATCAGCACTGTAAGTCTAGTCAACATCCATCATTATACAGTTACCAAAAACCTTCTTCTTGTGATGAGAACTTTGAAGATTTATTCTCTTAGCCACTTTGTAATATGCAGTACCGTATTATTACCTATCCCCACACTGTATATTACATCCCCATGACTTATTTACACCTAGAAATTTGTACCTTTTGACCCCCTTCACCCATTTCACCTACCTCCCATTTCAGGTAACCACCAATATTCTCTACGTCTAGGAGCTCAGGTTATTTTTTAAAGATTCCACCTTTAAGATCATATGGTATTTGTTTCTAATTTATTTCACTTAGCATAATGCCTTCAGGGTCCATCCATGTTGTCACAGGTTACAAGATTTTATTCTTTTTATGGTCGAGTAATTTTCCATTGGACACTTAGGTTGTTTCCGTATCTGGACAGTTGTAAAGAATGCTGCAGTGGACGTGGGGTGCAGTTATCTTTTCAAGTTTGTGTTCTTGTTTTCTTTGGATGGATACCTTAAAGTGCAATTGCCAGATCATGTGGTAATTTTAGATTTAATTTGTGGAGGAACGTCCATACTATGTTCCCTAGTGTTTGCATCAATTTACGTCCCTGCCAACAGTGTGCAAGGGTTTCCTTTTCTCCACAACCTTGCCCACACTTACTTCTTACATTTTTTGATAATAAACATTTTGATAAGTGTGAGGTAATACCTCGTTATGGTTTTGATTTGCATTTCCCATTGATTAGTGGTGTTGAGCACCTTCCCATGTACCTGTTGGCTGTTTGTGTGTCTTCTTTGGAAAAGGGTCTGTTCAGAGCCTCTGTATATTTTTTAATCAGGTGGTTTACTTTTTTTGCTATTGAATTGTATGAGGTGTTTTTTTTTATATCAACCCTTTATCAGAAATATGATTTTCACAAATTCTCTCCCATTCAGTAAGTTGCCTTTTCACTCTGTTGATGGATTACTGTGCAGAAGCTTTTCAGCTTGATTCAGTCCCACTTGTTTATTTTTGCTTTTGTTGCCTTTGCTTTTGAGGTCAAATCAAAAAATTGCCAAGACTAATGTCAAGGAGCTAGCCACCTAGGTTTTCTTCTAGTTTTATGGTTTCAGGTCTTTGAGGTTATCATTTGGGGTTAATTTTTGTGTAACCGTCCGGTTTCATTATTTCGCATGTGGCTATCCAGTTGGAAAACCAACACCATCTATTGAAGAGACTGTCCTTTCTCTGTTGTATATTCTTGGCCCTTTTGTGGTGAATTAAATGACCATACATGTGTGGGTTTTTATCTGGGCTCCCTATTCTGCTCTATTCATCTGTATGTCTGCTTTTGTGTCCATCCCATACTGTTTTGACTACTATAGCTTTGTAATATAATTTGAAATCAGGGAGCATGATGCCTCTAGCTTTGTTCGTCTTTCTCAATATTGCTTTGGCCATTAGAAGTCTTCTCTGGTTCCACACAAATTTTAGGACTGTTTGTTCTATTTCTGTGAATAATGTCATTATGGTTTTGTTAGGGATTGCATTGAATTGTGTGGACATTATAATTCCTCCAGTCCATGAACATGGAGTATCTTTCATCAATGTCTTAGAGCTTTCAGTATAAGAGGTCTTTTACCTCCTTGGTTAAGTTTTTACTAGGTTTTTTTAATTCTTTTTGATGCAATCATAAATGGGATTGTCTTTCTGCAAGTTGGTTATTAGTGTATAGAAACACAACAGATTTTTATGTATTGATTTTTGTATCCTGCAACTTTACTAAATTTATTGGTTCTAACAATTTCTATACATAATATCATCGGCAAACAGTTACAGTTTTACTTCTCTATGATTTGGATGCATTTCTTTTTCTTGCTTAATTGTTGTGTCTTACTCCTGATCTTAGAGGAAAAGCTTTCAGTTTTTCACCAGTGGATATGATGTTAGCTGTGGATCTGTCATATATGGGGCATCTATTATGTTCAGGTACATTCCCTCTATACCCACTTTATTGAGAGTTTTTATCACTAGTGGATGTTGAATTTTGTCAGATGCTTTTTCTGCAACTGTTGAGCCATCCTTGCATCCCCGGAATAAATCCCACTCTCAAGGTACTGTTGAATATGATTTTCTACATTTGATTTAAATATTAATATGATTTGAGGATTTTTGCATCTATATGCATCAGAGATATTGGTCTATAATTTTCTTTTTGTGTGGTGTCCTTGTCCTGTTTTGGTAGCAGAGTAATGCTGGCCTCATAAAATGAGATTGGAATAGTTCCCTCCTCTTCTGTTTTTTGGAAGAGTTTGAGAAGGATTGCCATTAATAAGTCTTTGAATGTTTGGTAGCATTCACCAGTGAAGCCATCTGGCCCTGTAGTTTTGTTTGTTGGAACGCTTTTGATTACTGATTGAAACTCCTTAGTAGTAATCTCTTACGATCCTTTGTATTTCTGTGGTATCAGTGGTAACGTCTCTTCTTTCATTTCTGATTTTGAGTCCTGTCATCTTTTCTTCTTGGTGAGTCTAGCTAAGGGTTGTCAATTTTATCTTTTAAAAAACCATCTCTTGGGGCGCCTGGGTGGCTCAGTGGGTTAAGCCGCTGCCTTCGGCTCGGGTCGTGATCTCAGAGTCCTGGGATCGAGCCCCGCATCGGGCTCTCTGCTCGGCAGGGAGCCTGCTTCCTCCTCTCTCTCTGCCTGCCTCTCTCCCTACTTGTGATTTCTCTGTCAAATAAATAAATAAAATCTTTTAAAAAAATAAATAAATAAAAATTAAAAAAATAAAAAAAATAAAAAACCATCTCTTAGTCTCATTGATCTTTTGTCTTTTTACCCTCTATTTCACTTAAATACCTTTTGTTTCTAGTCAGAAAACATGGAAGTCAGGCATATTGGTTAGAAATAATTCCTAAAATATGGGAATATACAAACATACTCAGAAAACTATCCTTAATGTTGAGATGTCTGTATTTTGAGAGAACTTCTTCTACACATACTCATTTTTCACCCCTGTATACTATCAGAGGAATATATTTCTGTGCTCCACTCTTTCTACTCAATAATATATACATTTTTCACTCTAATGGATAGAAATCACTGTCATTGGGGAGCCTGCATGGCTCAGTGGGTTAAAGCCTCTGCCTTCGGCTCAGGTCGTGATCCCAGAGTCCTGGGATGGAGCTCCACATTGGGCTCTCTGCTCAGCGGGAAGCCTGCTTCCCCCTCTCTCCCTGCCTGCCTCTCTGCCTACTTGTGATCACTGTCTGTCGAATAAATTTTTTAAAAAATCACTGTCACTAATTTTGATGGCTTTAGAGGTTTCTACTTTATGGATATATCCTTATTTAACAAATCTCTGATGAATGGCCACTTGGGTTATTCTAATTTGTCACTATTAGTAAATAACATCTTTGTACACCCATCTGAGAGGCAGTTTAACAGATTAGACGACAAAAGGGAGTCCCGTGACCTGGAGGGCCTGATTCCCATCTGTGTTTACCCAGAAAGCCCTGGTGGTGTAACCACTATAATGTATTATCTGTACCACCCATTGCCTACTGCTCTGGGCAAATGATGAGGGTAGAGCCACACCTGGGCTCCCCACTCAAAGTTCTCCCCTCCCCGTACCCTTTGTCCAACTGGCCTTCCAGATTAATGTGGTTCTGTTTTCAGCCTTCAGGCATCTCCAGAAGCAAAATTTCTTATCATGTTTTCTCAAATAACTTACCAGGTCTGCATTCCTTTATTCTGAAACTGTTTGCCAGGCACCATCTATATTTGCTTTTGTAGTCCTCTGTGACAAAGTCAAATAAGCCACAATGGTTCTGTTCACTGGCTGTCCTACATGCTGTACAAGATCCAGTCTCCAACACTCAGAACCAACCAACTCTGTCCTTGTCCCCAGTCAAGAGGGAGTCATACCTAGAGGTCAAGTCAACTACTTTCTTTGTTCCCCCTTCCTCTCCTCTCTAGTAACATCTCATGTGGGAAAGCTCAAAGGCCTCTACATCCAGCCCTTAAAAAGAGTCTCTTTCCTATGGCCTATGGAGGGCCCAAGTTTTCTGATTATAATGGATCTCCCAGAGTAGGAAAATGTTCTACCAAGTGGAACACCAAGGCTTTTTGCTAAAGGAGATGGAACCAATAATTCCACAATTTAAGAGAAGAGTAGAGATGACATTCACAAAGGAGAAAGGCCACTCTCAGGGAACTTTCTAGCAGCAGAACTTGATCAGGTATACCTAGACTCGGGGCCTGAATTCAAGTGAGTCATCATGAAAACAGTCTAGGAAGGCTGCTTGGAGAGCTTGGTTTGTTTGGGGCTGTAGAACCAGAGAAAGGGGTATAGGCAGCCAGACCTGCTATGCTTGAGCCAAGGCATGGAGTTTGCATTTGGCCCAGGCTGACAATCCAAGCCTAGGAGGTGGCAAGTGGGATGAGGTTATAGGAGTATGGAAGAGGAAGGACATAGATGGTCTCCAGTGCTAGGTCTTACTGATTGTGACAAGGAGCCTCAGTGTGATACACTACCCAGCCACTCTACCTTCCAGTCTCTCTGGCTCTTGTGTGATTCTGAGTGGTGGGAAAGCCTTCAGTTCCAGTAACTGTGCTTCCAAACCAGTGTGTCTGTCCTCCAGCTATGACCACGAAGGCCGCCTGACCAATGTGACACGCCCCACGGGGGTGGTGACCAGTCTGCACCGGGAAATGGAGAAGTCCATCACCATTGACATTGAGAACTCCAACCGTGATGATGATGTCACTGTCATTACCAATCTGTCTTCAGTGGAGGCCTCCTACACAGTGGTACAAGGTAAGCCCCCTACCCACTAAACTTACCCACAGACCCCAGCAAGCCTGGGAGGACTTCCAGAGACCAGGAACACCCATTAGCTTGTTATTTTAGTCAAGTGTCCACCGTAAACAAATTCTACAAGAGGTCAGTCTTGTAGAAAATGTCTTAATCAGATTCAGGAGAATGTCATCTATACTAACTGAAATGTCTAGAGCTTTGGGAATGTCTACGTACTTCCCTGAAAATTTCAGTTGCCATCCCCACTTGCTCTTACCTCTCCATCATCAGCACTCCCCACCAACCCAACACACATAGATACCTTCTCCAAGGCTCTTTATCCTTTTGGCTTCACCTCTTCCTTTTTTGGCCACATCTTGATTCTTCTTCCAAGCACTTGTTTATTGGGTTGATTGCCCTGGAATCAGAGCCCTTTAGCAATCTCTTGCCAAGACTGGGATCTCAAAGGTTTCTGACCACCCCATAGCTACTAGCACTGTTTGACATGACACACAGTGAGGGACAAGCACAGGAGCTGGCAAGAAAAGGAATTGTGCAGATTAATTTTTCTTTTAATTAAGATATAATGTCAGTGGGCTAGCCCGTTGTCAGAGGATAAAAGTGTCCTCTCAGTAGATAAATGGTGACATTTCTGGACTATTATCCCACGACAGAGCCTGTTTCAATGACTCTATTTCTGCTCTGCCAAATGATTAATGATGTAGATTCTGTCTTTCTGCATGATGGCTGCAGTTGCAGGAGTGACAGATACACATTTGCTCACTATCCCAAAAGCCAGCGTCTCAGAAGCCAGCCAAGCTGGACTCCTTTGCCCAAATAATCAGGAAGCAATATATCTGTAAAGGAGTTTCAGACTCACGTTTCCTTCCTGGAACTTTTCGATAAGGAAAAAGGTCACAAGTCTGATTGACTAGTATAGATTCCCTTTGGGAAGATAAACACATGTTATCAGCACCCACTAGCTCAGTCTACCTTATGCTGTTTGAATCTCCAGAGTTCTGTTGAGGAGAGCTGGCATCATGGTGGAGTCAGCAGCAGAAGCATGAAGGCCAGGAAGGGTGCCTTTTCTCTTGATTTGATCTATAGCTAGACCATCAACTTCAGGTTAGATGGTAGGCAAAAGGGAAAAAAAAGAAATAGTCTTTTTTTTCCCATTTAAGATAAAATATATATGTTAAAGATTAGGGATTTGATTGACACAAATTGTGTAGGCAATACACATCTTTAAAGGTACTATTAATAGTCTTCAGTGAGTAAAAGAAAAATATCACAGCATAATTATTTCTGGAGTGCCACATATTAATAATGTTTTTCTTTCCACGGATCAGTAGCATCTCTGCTACTCACCTTAACATTGTATGTGTGCTAATTGAAGGCAGCCTTAGACTGACAGCTGCAAAGTACCATGGAAACCTATAAAAATAGGGGTTCTGTTCTCTTATGACTAACAGAGTGGATAATTTCTTTCCCTACCCCCACCCCCACTTACATTTCTCCAGATCAAGTGCGGAACAGCTACCAGCTCTGTAATAACGGTACCCTGAGGGTGATGTATGCCAATGGGATGGGTGTCAGCTTCCACAGTGAGCCCCATGTCCTAGCGGGCACCATCACCCCCACCATTGGGCGTTGCAACATCTCCCTGCCCATGGAGAATGGCCTCAACTCCATTGAGTGGCGCCTAAGAAAAGAACAGATTAAAGGCAAAGTCACCATCTTTGGCAGGAAGCTCCGGGTAAGTGGTTCTACCCAATTCGTCACCGCTAAGTAGTAGGGGATACACCCTTTCCTCAGGAGCTGAGGCAATTTCCCAGGTCCCAAGCCTCCATTACTCCTTTCTTCCATGGGAAAGACAAGTCTTTCTCTCAAAAGACAGAAGCCCTATCCCTTTGGGAAAAACCATGTCTGTTTACTAGGAGAGAAAAAGGTGCAGATTTACCTTCCACTCTAGCTTGGGATAGCTTCAGTCTTCTTGTCACACTTGCTATCTGCTCCCTCGACTCTCACTCTTTGGCCAATTCGACAAACTACTTGGTGCCTGGTGCTGGCTTTGTGTGGAGTAATTTGATGAATACTGGAAGAACAGAAATTTTATAATGTACTCTTCACACACAAGGAGTTAACAGTCCAGTAGAATATGTAGACGCAGGGTAATCCAGTGGGTTAAGTGAGAGAAGCGGGGCACCTGCGTAAAGCCTCTGCCTTCAGCTCAGGTCATGATCCCAGCATCCTGGGATCAAGCCCCACATTGGGCTCTCTGCTCAGCGGGGAGCCTGCTTCCCCCTCTCTCTCTCTGCCTGCCTCTCTGCCTACTTGTGATGTCTATCTGTCAAATAAATAAATAAAATCTTTAAAAAAAAAAAAAAAAGTAAGCAAAGCATCCAGGGCCTGACAGAATCAGAGGAGGAGATATCACCCAGCCTAAGGTGATCAGGGAAGGCTTGCCAAGAGGAAATCACAAGCAAACCACAGTAGAAATTTTCAACCAACCGTAGCTTCCCCAGACTGGGCAGCTTATCCACAAAAAACTAACACGCAACACTCATTGAGGACTTTCATGATGCAAGCTCTATGTTACATGCTTTACTTATTTTCAACAGCCCCACAGGGGGACTTAACTCTGTTTTTCAGATGAGGAAACACAGGTTCTGGGAAGCTACATAACCTGTCCAAAGCCACCAGGGCTAGAAAATGGCACAGCCAGGACCCAGTCCCAGTTCCATCTTTGTGTCTGGCTCACTTGCCCATATCCTTAACGGCCAAGGATGAAGTTCACAGTCATCCAGATAATCTGGGTCCTGCCCTAGTCACTTACCAAGCACTAGGAGGGTCTGATTCTTAATATCATGCTAACCCCTTCCCCCATGGCAGGGAAACCGAGGGATCCCAGTCCTCATCAAATTCAGCACACATTTACTGAGCACCTACTATAAGCCAGCACTGGAAGTCAATATGGCACCCCAAGTAAAATCCCTTCCCTCCTGCCCCTGATGGTCAAGGGTGGGGAAAGAAACCAGACGGGCAGATAGGCAGTACACTAATGAATAACTAAAGTAACTGCAGATTAAGATAAGTGCTGGCCTGAGAGTAAACAATGCAGCCCCACAGGGTTTAACCACTACTTGGGAATCACACTTAGGTAATAACTTTGGCTGCTATTGGGTTGAAATCCACCCTGCCAGGCCTATCTCCCCACAGGGCCAGGCCACTCCATATTACGATTCTGCCTTTGTCTAGTTGGAGCTCCATTCCTCACATTAGGTTATCAGCATTCTCCCATGTTTTTCTTCCTATGCTGGTATCTGCAAAGTTGCAAACGGCCGTATCTTCCTAAAGAAAAAAATGAAATGAGATTAGTAGCTAAATCCTTAATGACTGGATTTCAGGGCTGTATAATTGATTTTTGATATGCTGCACTGTAGAAGTTGATTATAAGTAGTAATCGTGCTTTTTCCCTGATAAATCAGTTATGCATTTTGACTAAGTTTGCAAAATAAAGATAAATGTGGCCCTAAAATAAAATGGCTATAATCCCAACTCTGAATATTAAAAATCTTAATAATGATACTTGTGGTAATTAGCAGAAGTTAGGCACGCAAGTCTTATAACTGAATTTCTGCCAGGGTTAGATTTGCTGGCATCATGTTTATGCAAATCAAAACACAGCTTTATCTATCAACACCTCAACATTTAATTGTCTGGTGTTAGTTCCTGTAACAATAATCACATATCCATTTAGCTCTCTTAAATGAAAATCACTATGAGATTATAAAAGGTTGAGTGGACTGAAAATGTAATTTGAAAATGAAGGAGAAAGCCTGGAATTTATTTGCATCTCATTTATTTTAATTCAATTCATAAATTGTTTAGTGAATGAAATAAAAGCAACTCCTGGAAATTGCAGGGGAGCAAGTGGAAGAAGGTATAAAAGAAAGGGGGAGCATGCTGTGGATGAAGAGAACTGGGGCGTGTCCTTTTAGGTTCTCCAGGAGCCCAAGGCAAGGAGGTTTGCAGCCCCTAAATTAAGGGTACCTGTTGGCGCGCACAGGGCAACAGGCTCTTCTCACTTCCAGGGCTAACGTTTCTTTTCCCTCTGTCTTGATTTCCACTGTCAAACGGGGCCCTGAAATTTTTCATTCATTCCTTCAGATTACTAGAATGGACTCTTAGGAGAACACTGCGTTTTACAACGGTCATCATTTTCCTGTGTATAACTAATTCTTTTTTTTTTACATTTTCTCTTTGCTTTAAGTCTCCTCTGTATGTGGGCTGCAAATTAAACCAATACTATACATTTTTTTGAAAACATGTTTGCTAAGTGCCAACTCTATGCCAAGCACTATGGAGTGAGTAGACTAGAGAGAGAGAAAGAAAACTAAATCCTTGCCAGCAAGAAGTTTGCATTCCAGTGGAGAAAGCAATGTGAATCGTGTGGTGTAAGCTGTAACAGAGGCAATGTCACAAGGAAAGCAGTAGTTGGTTGTGTCAGGAGAGGATGGACTGAGGCCAGATAACAAATAAGCCCTACAATCTCAGGAGCTTTCCAGTCACAGTGCAGAGAAGGCAAGCAGCTCGGCCTCGTGGGGACTCACTGCGTTGCTGTCCTGTGATCCCGCCACAGTAGGCAAATGACCTCTCGGGTTGCTCTGGAAGGACAAGGGGCTGAATGAGCAGAGCTGGGCATGGCCTGCATCACTTCAACTGAACCACAAGACAGCCTAGGAAATGTCGTCTTTGTGAGAGCCTAAGGAAAAATAAAAGGAAAGAGTTGGTGAACACATAGCAGGGTCTCCGCCATCTTGATCAGGAAGAGCTTCAGGACTGAAGAGCGGTAGGAATTAGCCTGGCAAAGATATGGGGAGAGGGTGATCAGATCAGAAATGTTCCCTATGACACAACAGAGAGGTCAAAAAGGGGAAGAGCATTTCAGGAAACCTTAAGTCAGGTGCACCAGAGGGAAGGGGAACTTGCTACACTGTGCTACAGAAAAAGAATACGTCGGCCAGAGGCAGCACATGGAAAGGAATATTTTGCTAGGATGACATTTATCCAGAGGACTGTGGAGAACTGTCCCAGGGTTTAATTAGCAGAGTGATGTGTTGGGATGTGTAGTCTTAGAAAGACTCTCAGGTTTCCTCGGGTGTGGAGGAAGATAGATTAGAAGGAGACAAGATAGGAGGAGAGGGACTGCACAGAAGCAATTGCAGTAATCCAAACAAAGAACTAAATCACTAAGAGTAAAGAGAGAAAGATGAGGGAGGGAGGGATCTGAGAGATACTTAGCATACACATTAACAGGATTTGATAAGGAACAGGGTTGCTGTATCAGGCTCTCCTTTTTAGGCTCCCTCCCCACAATCCTATGGACTAGGAAACTGAGTGACTGTCTAGACTCTGTGAAGGAGAGAAGCTGGGGACTGAACCCCAAGACAGACGTGTGACATTCTGGCAGACCCAGCCCTGCTTCTTAGTATAGGGGAAAAAAACGTTGCTCTTTCATGAAAAGCAGGGAGTTTGTAGCGAACTTGTGGTGCAGCAACAGAGGAGATCAAGCACTGAAGCAAGCTGACTTACCTCTCCCAGGTGCCATCAAGCTTCTAGGAGTCTGGCCAGTTGAGTGTTGATGTGAGGACCCAAGGCTAAGCTTCCCTAGAATTCAGAAGAAACCAAAAATCCCAATGAAGCTACCATGATAGACCCCAGTGAGATTCTAAGCCACCCAGGTAGCCCTTCTTCCAGCAACCTAGTCAGGGATGTCTCTTGGGTGAGGAACATGTCAGCAGCCTTTCCATATAGGCTGGTGAAATGTAAGATGGTGGACGGATAGACCAACAAAGAACCTTCCACCAAAAGCTTTATGATGCTTTGGCAAAATTTAATGTGTTAGTCCATTCTTTCCAGCACAAACTCAACGTGAGACTCATTTTCATTATGTCTCCCAAGGACGTCTCAAGGAATCTCATTTGAAAGAGTCTTTTACACTCCACTCCTTTCTCTGTTCTCCCTGGCTTTTCAAAACACACAAAACAGTTCATCAGGGCATCTGTAAGCTACGTGAGCACCTCACCACCGTATCCCTGATGACAAGTGCCATGTGATAGGCACTCAGACAACAGGTGAGGAGGGAAAAGGGGATGTCCATGCCTCCTTAAGGGTCCTCCCTAGAAGGTGCATGTGTGTGTGAATTCCACACCACCCCAATCTCACCAAAGCAGGCATGAGTTCACAATCACATTTTCCCAGTATCTGTCAGGAATCTTCCCATTGCAAAACACAGGAAGCCCACTCAGACTAGCATAATAAGAAAGGGCATTCATTGTCTTGCCTAATTGGGCCCCCACAAGCCCAAATGATGTCATCAGGCTGACACCTCTTTTTCTCCTTTTTTTGTGGTTCCCTTCCATCCCCCAGCATTATTTCTCTTGGCACTTGAACTAATTTTCTCCCACAGTAGACCAGTGACCTTGTCACACAGGGGAGTCAGGCAGAGATGGCCAAAGGTGACTTCAGGCTGACATCAGCCTAGCTTAGTGAACGCAGAAGAAAGGATCTCCCACACCACTTATACAAAAAAAAAAAAAAAAAAAAAAAAAAAAAAAAAAATCCCAGGAGACTGACCTGGTACAGATGCAGGTCTATGATTGGCCAGCACAAGGTCACATGTGGACGCATGTATCTTGTGTTGGACATCTCAGTAAAACCACCTAAACAGGGAAACCTTACAGAAAGGGAGTG